CTCTTTGGACACTTGACACGGAACCTTCTCTTGGAACCTCGGAACCTGCAGAACCTTCACTTGGAACGTTTACTTGGAACTTTTCAGACACTTGACACGGAACCTTAACCTCGGAACCTTCGGAGCCTTCACTCGGAACCTCGGAACCCTCACTTGGAACCTTCGGAACCTTCACTTGGAACCTCGGAACCCTGACTTGGAACCTTCGGAACCTTCACTTGGAACCTTGACTTGAAACTCTTTGGACAATTGACACGGAATCTTCGCTTAGAACCTCGGAACCTTCGGAACCTTCACTTGGAACCTTTACTTGGAACTTGTTGGACACTTGACCCCTCGGGGCCTTCAGGGCCTTCGCTCGGGGCTGGACCCTTAAACTTGGCACTTTTTGGACACTTGACACGGAACCTTAACCTCGGAACCTTTGGAACCTTCACTTCGAACCTTTACTTGGAACTATTTAGACACTTGACACGGAACCTTCACCTCGGAACCTTCGGAGCCTTCACTCGGAACCTTCACTTGGAACCTTGGAACCCTCACTTGGAACCTTCGGAACCTTGACTGGAAACCTTTACTTGGAACCTCGGAACCTTCACTCGGAACCTCAGGGAACCTCACCGGATGACTGCCCCACAGTGCCCCAGTGCCTAGTTTGGCTGAGACCCCAAGCTTCCGCTGTTGGGGAAAAAGATAAGGATGGGAAAACAAACTCAAGATATACAGTACCGCCTGAGGATAAGCTGGAGATGGTCACCAAGAAGCTCAACTGGATAAGACACAGGATATAAACATCTGGGATTTGGGGGAAGCTTGCTGAATGAACTATGAGTTGTCAAAGTCTAGGGTGGCTTTGCAATAATAGATTCATCTTGGCAATGGAGTTTGGGTGAGACTTTGTATCTGAGCCTTAGATCAGGTCTGAACCAGGTCTTTTGGACGCCGTGGCTGGCAGGGAAGTGCAGAATTATTGTCGCCCAGGCACAGTCTTTGCCCTTGACGCCAACCGTGGTGGTGCCCTTCCTGACAGCCTGGTAGGTCCAAAGACTGAGCGTCAAGGTCATCAAGGTGACAAGGACAACGCTTGCACAGGGCCAATCACGCCTGTCGTTTGGTGACTCCCACAGTTCCTTTGATGCACACCGCGTTAGTGTTACAAAGCCTCGAAAAAGTGGAAGCAACAAAAAACAGTCCCACTTGCATGTGCTCACCACACACTTGCAGTAAACTCTGTTCAGGGAGGAATTCTGCCCCCCACCCGCCAACAGGCCCCTGATCATAAGAAAAGGCAGCATAGATGTGACATAGGAGCAGGGTTCGTTTCTACTGAAAACACTCGAAATTCCCCTGCCTCAAGGGCATACTCCACCTGAAACAAATGGCCATCTGGCGAGAAAACGGTGATGGCACGGTCGTAACCCCCAGCCATCCTGGCACATTTGTCAAGATCAGAAATAGCTCGCTCTCTCTTCCCACAACTGTTCGACTGTTCGACTCATCAGAAAGACAACTTGTTCAAAGGGCATTGAGGACACTCAGGGCAAACAAACTACTGCTGGTCACCCCAAGTCCATTGCTGCAATTCAGTTCAATTCAGTTCCATGGACATCAAAATATGGTCTTCTGTTTATGCAGCTTTCTCAGCACATGGAAAGTGATCTCTTCACAAAGTGCATCCACGTGCCTGCGACCCTGGCAAGCTACAGTCGCACGTCTGAGTCAAAGGTGTCTTGAACCAGTGCAACGGGCAGGGACGCCAGGGACACACTTGTTGCAAGAAATACGCCTGCCACCTTCTGCCGGTCGCATTCTGACATCAAGCCCGCCCACCTTCAACACAATGACTCGGGACTGCCGTGATAGTGCAATCCTATGGAAAAGAAAACCCAATGCCCAGCGCATCCCGGCTTCCCACCTGTCTCGATCACAGGGTGCACAAGAATGCCCACTGGAACATGCAACGACTGAAACATGTAAATAAATCAACTCTGTAAAATGACACGTTGTGAATTGTCAGTGGAACCTTGTTGATAGGAAAGATTCTGCACTGCCAGGAGCAAAGGGTTTCTTGCTGCATTGTCATTAGGTGGTACGGAACTGTGTCCACCAACAACTTTCAGTTCTTAGCCATCCAAGGCTTCTCCAGCAGTTCCCAGCAGCCAGGTCCCCCCGACATGGTGGAGAGCCGCAAGCGAGGAAGATCCATCAGTGTCAAAGACCTCTGATCCGCCAGGCAAAGGTGAATGCAGTCTTCATGGCAACATTGAAGAAGTAGCCCAATTGGGAAGACCCATTTTTTGACCGGATCGACCTGGAGAACACAGAGACCCCCGCAGGCTCAAAATACCTCTTCCGGTGCAAGGCAACAAACATCCTGTATATAAATGAAACAAAGTTCACCTGTCAAATGCAAACACCGATCGATTGAAAGGCAATTGAGGCCGGGGCAATGCTCTGCCCTGTGAGGTTCATGTAAAAGGACAAGAAGTTGGCCTCAACTAGCGAAAAAAATATACATATTATATATATATATATGAGTTGCGGAAACTGGTCATTGAACTCGGAAACTCGCATCATATGTCAGTTCACTCACATGTATTGTACGAGTTTATTTGACGTATCAGTGTGAGTGTGTGTGTATGCACACATGGGTGATGTTAAATATGTGTTATGCTTAGATATACATACACACCAACAAACTACAATCTTTTCTGCAAACCTCTACTTTCCCGTACCTTTTCTCACAAAATCCTAGCGCGCAGAAAAAAAAACATATAGCAACAAATCCAACGCATGTCCTCTTGCTCAGACTCAACATTTCGGTTTTGCATGTCCCTTCCAGCCAATCCCTGACGAAGGGCCTCGCGGGCTTGCGACCCGCCCAGCCCGAAGGATTGCGCTTCCGTGGTCCTGTGCAAAAAAGAATATGCAAAAGGATTAGGTTTTTGTGGTGGTTGGTTAAGTTCTTGTTGAATTCATGGACAAAGGATGCAAGCCCAATAGAATGCCGAAACGACAGGAACAGTCATGGTTCCAATGTGGTCCAAGATTGCATCCATGGACTGCACGTTCACAGCAACAACGCCGGGTGGGATGGAAAGAAATCCATTCGCTGTGCATCAATGTTTGAGATGACAATCTTAAACGACATCAAATGAGAGACTAGGAAGTGTTCTCCTGCTGCGTGCTTGCTCCCACAACTTTGTTTTGTTGGTTTGCGAAACCAACACCTGAGCTAAGTGTTCTTGGCTTATGCTACGATGGGGTCCTGGAGTTCAGCTGGTTCTCCACCGTATGTATGCCGACCTTGGAAAGTGTGCGAAGACGTCTGAATTTTCTGCAAGTCGGACACTACCCAAGCAAGATACCAATTATGGTTGTGAAATGACAGCGGAAACATTTTCTGAAAATACTTCTATAATTATATATGCGTCTGAAGCCTGGCCCCAGCCATTCAGAAACCAATCAACAAAAATATAACACTTACACATACAAATATCTAAGAGTATGCATAGGCTATGCATAGGCATTGTACTTAATTCTCTGCGCCTTTTCAAATATACCAAGAGAGAGAGAGAGAGAGTGCGATTGAAAAACCAACAAGGATTTGGGATTTGGCACGAGACACGGAAGAACCGAACGCCCAACGAGAAGAACCAAGTACGCCGACAACAAGAGACACTCAAAGGATAAGCATAGTCTCGAGCACCATGTTGCTTCTTTGATCCCATCGGAACACCTCTGCAGCAAAGTTCTCTGTTTGTGTGCTCAGAAAAAGCAGCAAGCACAGTGAAAGTCTGCATACCAGCGCAAGTGGCGGGTTTGCCACTATGCTGGTGATAGCAAAGATGCTGCTTTCCCTCTTCGCGGCCTTTGTCTTGTCCTAGGAATCGGAACTGCTAGGTCCACCACCAGTACATCCCCCTTCATTCGACGAAGCGATTGCTTGGTGTAACCTGCGGCCGCGAACATGCACTTGCTCACACCTCTGTGTGCGTGTGCACTATGTTGACTCTGTACTCGCATTCTGCATTGGTGTGATGGGTTGGTCAGGCATCTATATATGTCTATATGTGCCAATGCATATACGGTGTGTTATATCTATGTGTATATATATATATATTATATTTGTTCACATTGTCGCCCTTAAGGTCTTAAAAGTCGTGCGGGGGGGAGTATGTATAGGACACGGGAGCAATCGACCTGAGGAAACCCTCACATCTCACTGCTGATAGATATTTGACTGCATCACACGCTACACACCTTGTCTCAGGGACCATCTGTCACAAAGATTCCCCATCACCCCATCAGCAGGCGCAGCCTGCATCAAAGAGCGCCTCGTAGCCAACCTCCAGCCCCCACCTGTAGATGCTGAATTTCCAGGACACCAATCTGCTCAAGCAGGATAGTTCAACGCGGAAACAGTGAGAGGTCGATCAACTCGGACACATTTCTGCTGAGTATGCTAGAGTTTTGGTGCAAGAAGGCCTGTCGCAGCCCAAAGTCGGCTCCTATTGAAAATCAATGTTCACAGTCTGAATAGGAGATAGCAGAAAAATCTTCTTGGGCATGGGCCACAACTTTGAGGGACGGACATGCTTGGACATTCCAAAACAGTACAGTACAAGTTCCTCTTTGCAAAAGGCCCATCAGGTCCCATGGATGGACTCGGCAAGAATCCCAAGTTACACTAGTGTAGTCACTATAGTCAGGTAGAAGCACAGTCCCCAAGCTGGGTTCTGCAGAAAGGAAAGCTTCTGAGTGTCCATTTTGATGATGGTTCGCTACATGTCGTTCATCATATGGAAACGCAAGCAACTTCGTGCGAGATGCAGATGAGACCAAGCGTTCTTTTAAACACAAGTTGAATTTTAAGCAGCATTGGGTACAGTACCTGAAACTTTCAAAAATGTTCCACATACAACAGACCACATGAAGATTTGGGTTGATGTATTTTCTAACTGGCACACCAGCCCCTGAGCAAATCAGGTCGGGGAACTCTTGAGCACCAATACTCTCTTTCGGACGCCTCTCAGAGACCGGCATGTTGCTCACCTGCATCGGAGCTGGGTAACTGGCCTGCTCTGACATCAAGCCAATTGCCAGGTTCATCCTTTCTCTACAACTCTCTACACAACTCTCTACACAACAGGCGTGACCCTGGCTATCTGCAATCTGCACTTTTTGGATGTTTCTGCCACAGGCTTCGCAAGCACCCCATCCCACGGTTCAGGCATCATTTCCACCGCCTGCTTTTTACTGATGCCAAAGAAGCTGTGGTCAAAGCAGTCGGCCCCATCCAGGAAGGAACCATGCCTGTGAGATGGAGGTATGGAGTCCAACTATTGGACCAAATGCCACCCCCATCAGAGAGGGAAAGGCATCGTTGGAGGTCTTCACACAGAAAGGAATCCTACAAAATGCAAGAACAAATGCAGAAGATTTATATAAATGTGAAGTCTGTTCACAAGCTGACTGATGGTGTCTAGCATGAAAGGACTTTCATGATGCATGATCCCAACATGAAAAACCATCAGCCTATCGTGGGAATCGAACTCAGTGTTAGTTTTATGCCACACCACTTGGGTCTGACTGCTTTACAGTTTACAATAGCTAGGTATAGCTGCCTCGAGGAGTTGCCCTGAACACAAACCTATATAAACAAGTTCAGGACTTTTTAATCAAAGGGCTTCATCTGAAATCCTGTGACAAACTGGCAAGAGCTCTGGCCCTCTCACAAGTCCTGACTCCGTCTGGCCTGGAAGAGCTTTTGAAGGCCTAAGCCCAGTGTAGAGCTTGGAGAGGATCAATCATATTCTGGCTGTCAGTGTGCTAAGACTTTAAAGTTTGTAAGCACTTCAAGCTGTGTCCCCCATCAAAGCCGACGGCCAAAAAGGACAAAAGGGTGTGCCGCAAGGACAAAACAAAACTGGCAGCATAACACACAGGGCATTAACAATGTTCGCTACTAGGAACAAGTGCATCGCTTCTAGTAACAAGTGCCTTACTAGTAGTAACAAGAAGCTAGTAGTAACAAGTGCCACGCTAGTAGTAACAAGTGCCTTACTAGCAGTAACAAGGACGCTACTAGGAACACTCTAGGCATGACGCCTTCGTCGCCTTCGTCTATCTAGGCATCGCACGTCCGGAGAGTCTGGAGGACTGCACCTTAAGTCCCCAAGGTCGACTCTACATGTAGCAAGAATTGCTCCTAGTAGTGATGGGAGCTAATAGTAGCGATGCCCTTGTTCCAAGTTGTGCGTCATCTGGGCCCTTTGAAAAATCAGGGGTTTGCTAATCCAAAACCTCGGACCCCACGCCACTGCTGCACATCAAAGCGCTGATGAGGAATCTCCGTCACGAAGTCAGCACCTTCAACAACTCCACGGGATAGGCTGTCTTGTTGCAGCGAGGAGAAAAGCTACTCGGGATTCCATGCTAAACTCCCCGAAAAATCTAAGGTTGACCCTCTATATACATGCAACTCTATTCGATTTACCGGGACAATTCAGGCAGCTTTGGGAGATCTATCCTGAAGCGGAGACATGTTTTGGCTTGAAAGTTGTTGGATGCCAAAGCAAAAGCATCAGTAGCACCACACTCTGTGGCCATCACCCTGTTCAGCGGCCACCTCAACCATTCCCATGTACCACCCCCGGCCTACAAAGGCATGCCATGCAAGGCTCTCTTTTTGCCAACCACCTGCAAAGCGGCAGCAAGTGCCTTTCACAGCAGCCTGCAGCTGGTGACGCTCGGCACAGCTTAAAAACAAAAGCACAGTAGGCATTCGGATGCAAGCCAAACAAACCATCACACCAGCATATCTGCCTTAGTTTTGTTGAAGAGAGTGTATGTCAGCATTTCAAGAGAAAGCATGGTTCGTGGCAACTAAGGAACCTGTTGCATTTATATTTTATATATATATTATGTATATATATATATAACCTCACACTCACAATGGAAGTGTGGCGAAGCTGACAAGTATCAAACTGGGAATCAACTGCTCAAACTTGGCGGGTATATTTTTGGTTAGGGTGGAACAAAATCCAAAAAAAAACGTAAAAGTGGCTTCCACAGAGTCCTCCAGGTCGACTGAACCCGCACATGTACGAAAGGATGTCTACTCTGTACACAGGAGTGGACGAACAGGCCGTGGCTGTAGAGATACACAAGGAGAGCAAGTGTACTTCGAGATGCGATGACTTATGGACCAAAACATTGCGGGTGTCCCATCACTCCCTATGCAAATTTCCAACTTCAACATTACAGCACGTATCTCATCTAATGAATGGAGTTTCCAGGATCGTCGAGCATTCCAAACTAAGCTTTCGGAAGATTAGCACCAAAAAAACGTTACTTGATAGTATCCTTCCAGAATGTGACTGGCCCTCGCAGACTTGACCTCTTCGTCCGCATTTAGTAGTTTCTAGATTAGGTCATGGTTGCGTACCTTTCACTCTACCTCCTGAGAGTTTTAGACCTGCGGAGTTGTTTTTTCTTTGTACAAGGAGAGCGAGGACGCTACTAGGGGCTCCTGGCCTTACTACTAGGAGCAAGGACGCTATTAGGGATTGACTTCCCACCCTTCACCCAGCATAAGTCAAAGGGTTGTGGCGGGTGGGATCCTGTACGGTGCGAGTGTAAAGGAGAATGATCTTGCAGGAGAGCACAAATCCCTGTCAGGTTTTTGCAACCTCAATTCATCAGTCGAGCGATTGATCCGGCGGCCTGGAACACTAGAGTCAGTCAACAACAAATGTCAACAAATGATTGCAGTGCAAGTTTTTGGGAAAAAGGATAGATTCATCGCACCCCAACCAAGATTGACCCGCAAGATTGTTGGTACATAGAGGACAGTGTTCACTGTCTCTTTGCAGTTTCCAGCTCTGGTATCCATTCTTGGGGCCTTTCAGGATTGTCGTGAAAGACTGTGCTCAAACTATGGAGGGCTGCACGCCCTTCTGCTGGTTGTTTTATGTATCTGCTTTCGAGAAAGCAATCAAAACCAATTTGTACAAAATGGCGGAAAGTCATCAGCAGTTCCCAACTACACCAGCTTGCAAAAGTTGTTCTATCCTCTGCCAGTAGGATCTCCAGCAAAGCCGCGCTAAGAGTTGAACATATAATATATAACTTGTTGCTCAGATCGAAATCGTATTCTTCCTTCATAATCTTCATCTTCTACAGTATCTACTAGTGCCATCCACCAAGACCCTTGGCATGGGGTAGCAGCGTAGCAGCGGGGTGACTACGACATTTCGCACCAGGCCTGCTCACCTAGGCCCACCTGTGCACCCGCAGCACGCTGCCAAGCTGTAGGCACCAGCTCCAGAGCCTAGCGACAGCACCGGCTCAGCAACCCATTCAAAGAACTGAGAATGACAGAATTGAATGGTCGGCTAGCAGACCTGGAGGCAACAAAATGGATTTGTTTGGTTTCCTTGTCTTGGTCGGCCTTGTCTTCCAGCAACTGCATTTGTTTCACCTCGCTCAGCCGAGCGACACACCTGCAATCGGGGCAAAGGGTGACACAACTGGTTCCATCAAACCATCCGTCGGACTTGTTGCTTTAGTTGGATGCTTTTTACAAAGGAACCAAATGAACAGGTGTGAACAGGACAAATACAGAAGTTGGGTCAAAGGACCTGAGGAAGACAAAACAAATACAGCAGTCCCTATGGCTTTCTGATTGAGCACTTTAAGGCGATTCACAATTCACAAGCTGTCTGCACCGTGGCCCCTTCAAAAGCCAGGGACAGGAAGAATTTGGATGTCATATCACCCACATCACAATGCCTTCCTAGGCCAAATCTGCCAAGGTACCAATTCAAGATGTCTTTGGCATAGAATGAAGCCGTTTCTGCTTCGCCCAGTAAGAAGCTGCAAAGCGTGAAGTTCCTCCAAGCTCCAGGCTGGCAAAACGCGGCTCTGTCAGACATGAAGACCTGTTTGGCCTTTGTGGTGCCTGAGATCCTTATTAATTAGCCCGTGCTTCTGTCTCTACATTATCATGAAAGCAAGTTGCAAGTTGCCCAGAAAGGGATCTTGAAGTGTGTTGAAGAGTCTCGTCATTCTGATTTCTCCAACCCCAACTACCCGAGCGGTGCTTCATCGGCCTTGTACGAGAGGAGGTGGAGTGCTTGCGCGAGGCCCAAAGCTCCGGCTGCAGGATCACCAGGGTGCCGGGTGCCGTGGCAATCTGGCCAATGCCGATAAAACCCGGTCAGCTGGTTGCAAGTTGAGAGCCCCAAGGACGACTAACTCATCAGGCCTAATGCTGTGGACATCACCCAAATACGCCGCACAAAGGAATGATGTCCGAAGCCCGCATGACTGACGTACCTTCAACACCTTCTACTCAAACCCCACCACCCCGACCTGAGGAAAAAAGTAAAAGTATCTACAAAATGTATTTCTGAAAACGCATCGCCAGTTCACCTAGCATTCTTTTCGGGCTTGGACAGAAGCACCCAACCTCCACAGAGCCCTTGGATCCTGAGATCTCCAAGAGACCAGCACTGCTCAGGAAAAGCAACACCTGCAATGCGAGAACTGCACAGTTGGGAATGTTGAGAGGCTGCCACCGGCTGGCCATGTTCACTCTTTCAAAAATGCTTTCAATAGGTTGCAGTCGTTTGGCCTTTATCGATGCTTCTCACCTACAGGAGCTCAGCTCCAGCCTAATGGCCTAAGGAGGTGCAACCTTTCTGCTGCAGTGTCTGTTTGCAGACCTCAAGGTATACCAAATATAGCTTTGCCAAGAATTGCCCCAGGAGTGACGCTCCCTTTAAAAGATGTTTTTGACTCCGTCTGGCCTTCCAGGCAATTTTTAGAGTTGTTAGTGCAATCAAGAGAACTTCCATCAAGATTTATACAAATTTGTCAGGTTTTGTTTTTGTTGCACCCTGTTTCATGATTGGGACTGAAATGTATGCTGTTCATTACGCTTCCTGTTTCGTTTTGGTAATCGCGGAGTATATAAATGAGTGGCGAAAACGGAGTGGTTCACCACAAGGCTTTGGCTCAAAGCCCGCTTTATGAAACATCCCCACAACCATGGCTTCGAAGAAAGCGGCCTGGTACCTGTGACGCGTAAAAATCTTGGACCAATACTCCGCATGCCCCTCTGTCATCTCCTGTTTGGCGCAAGTCGCCGCAAGGTCACCAGGTACTACTTGGTTTGGGGACGATGTTCCAACCCACTACGGACCAACCACGAGCCATCCGCATGTCACACAATATGATAGAATATCAAATAGAGATCTAAACCACGTCATCTTCGGCCTTCTTCCTGGACACTGTTCTTGGGAACACAAACTTAGGATGTCTCTTGTGGGGTCGAAATCTTCTGTAGGGCAACCAGGCAACTGGCTTCCTCCAAGGAAACCACAAAGGTCAGGTCTTTAGTGATCCAGAAAAAAAAGCCAAAAAGCCATAACTATCTGCATAAGGCAAAGACTCTACAACCATGGATGCCATCGACTATCAGACTATAAAGCGATGATTGATGATAAAAAGAGATACTCATTGATCACGTCCTGAAGCACTCTTCACTGTTCCAAGAATATGCGAATCACAATGTGGGCCTCCTGCGGGGGAGTGATGGCCAAAGGCGTACGCGCCTCCACAGCACGACAATTGCATAACAAAAAAATAACGTTCTGAGCTTGAGTGCTGATGCACAAATCAGAATAGAGAGAGTCCGCAAATGTCAACGGTGATATCCAAACTGAATCATGTGTTCTTTCCAAAATAACGATCTATGCGCTCCCATTTTCTCTAAACAGCCCTGATGGCCTCACAGTCGAGCATTGAATTTCAGTTTTTGACCCTTGGACACAATCTGCATTTTTGACAGAGCATTCCACACGATAACAATCCACATAAAAAAAGGCATGCCCATTCCCATACGAAAGAAGTTCAGGACTTGGTTTCAACATGTTTCAACCCATTCCCCAATTGCCTCCAGTAGCCAGACCTCGGAGATCTCCGCACCCCTGAGCGAGCAAGCGCCTGGGATCAGGATGTGCAAAGTGCGACAGGTCGCACAAACTCCCCGGAGGTGGAAACGAGTGAAAGTGCGACCCGTGCGCGTGAACACTGTAGGGAATGAGGGGAATGAGGGGACGCTTTCTCCAAGGGGACGGTGGGGTCGGTTTGGAAACACGCTCAACGAAGGCGCTCCTTTCGTACCACCGACTATCAACCTGAGATTCTGGGTCGACATGCCTGCTCATCATTGTGAATGTTCAAACAGTCTTGCAAGCTTATTTCTGTTGATTTACCAGGTTGCTTAGAGGAAAGTCAACGGTTTTTGGAACTCAAAATCTCAAACAAGTTTTCTCGAGCCACGCCATGTGTCATCAAGACCCCAATGGAGGAGCAGCAGGCTTTGCATTGGCATGAACATGAACGTGAGCGGCACCACCATTCTGTTGTTGGTGCATTTGGAGGCTGAGCCTGAGCCTTTGCCTTCATAAAATCGATTCTTTGCTTGCACGAAGATCGTCGAGAAGGAGAAGCAGATCAGAGACAAATGCATTGTCATAACTTCCAGTGGTAGGACGGCATTCGACTTGGTTGGATTCAGAGACCGCCAGTGAAGAGAAGTCGAAAGATCTATGCCAGGAGGCGACGTAGGGTCGCTCGAAACTCCGAGCTCCTACTGTGCATGCATCTTGGAAAAAGGTCTTTAAGAAGAGAGAAGTAAATGAGATGGACCCTAAGATGGTAGACAACGCCCATCGATCCGGAGTATCAGCTAGAGTGTGGAGGTCTGCCCAAGGATCAAGAAAGAGAGGAAGAGTTCATCGGCGAGCAGCTCGGAAGGCGAGTCCAAAACAAGTTCTTTTGCCAAGTCTTGTCTCATGAAGCAATCAGGTCGAGTTTGAGGCCAGCGCACGCGCACCTACAGGTGCCTAAACCGTGGGGCTAGCCACCAATTAACTAGCCTGGGGAGGCTTCAGTGTCAATCGGACTCACGAATGCCAGCACAAGATCACGGTAGTGCGACCCGCGGCGATGGGAAGTTTGCAGACAGACAGGTGGCTTGCAAGCAGAACACGGAGAAGTTGAATAGAATGGACGTTCACGAATTGTGATTTGGGTGCTCGATTATGGCCCAACCCCATTCTAAAGCCACTGAACCCACCCCGCCCTCCGCCAAGCAGCAAGCAGATTACAAGTAGTGAGTGTAATCTGTTCGCACCATCTGCTTTACTCATACAACTCCGATCTCGAAAAGAAATGTGCAACGTGCATGCCACAAACACGCTCTGAACACATGCCCAAAGGCACCTCGGAGTGCCTCACCGATGGTATGCTGCTCCTGCCGGAGGCGCTCCAGCGTTGCTGTTGAGGCCTCTCAGAGTCGATCAATCACGAAGCTAGTCTTGTGCGCTTAGAAACTGGCTGATGCAGAGTTTGGCCATCTTCAGAGACTTTGTTTTCGTGCGAAGAATTAGAGGGATGGTCATCAAACAGACAATGTCCAGCACTTCTCCAATGTCAAGCCGATGAGATAGTTCTCCGGATTGATTTGTTCAACCTCTTTCAACCATTGTATGATTGCCTACCACCTAGAGGCATTCCTTCAACATAGGCCCCAAGAGATCTGGAGCATGTGTCTCTGAACACCCTGTTTCAGGAATCCCACTTGTGACCCCGCTCAGTTGAACAAACAAAGAACCGAAGAAACAAGCCCCTTCAGCAACATGATGACTGATGAAGAGTCTTCCCACTGATCCCCCTTTGATGGCTTTCAGAGTCTAGTCCCGTGCTTGTGAACCATGGCGATCGAAGAATTGGGTACTGGTGGAGATCTATGCTACGTGCAGTTTTGTGAACCCGGATGTTGAACCAGTTGGGCCTTCGCAAATTTTGCAGACTTTGGCAAAGGTTCGGCCAGGTTTGCGATCTGAGCGATGGCAGCACATCGCAAGAATTGACAAGAGGTAAAGAACATAATGCACCCTTTGCAAGGACTAATAAGTTGGCACAAGGTCCATACGCTCAAGGCCTCATGACCAAGAAACCTCTTCACTTGCAGTTGATCCTTCTAGTGACTAGCGTGCATGATCTCCAAAGGATGTTGAACAAAAGTCTCACTACAACCCTGGAATTTGCACCAAGAATTGCTTTGCTCTGGAATCTAGAACAAAATCCTTGAATGGAGAAACAAAAAAGGAATCAGGAGAACAAAGTCCTCCAGACTGATCAATTGTTAAGGGGGTTCACTGAACGATCGGCGATGTTCAGCAATATCCCTGCTATGGGAACGATCTTTCCCTGCATCCTTTCCAAGAACTCTTCCCAACTCTTGCAGTGATGAGACTTGTGGCATGACTCTCTATATATATATATTATATATTATATATTATATATTATATATTATATAATATATAATATATAATATATAATATATAATATATATATATAGAGTAAAAATGCTCAGTGCTAACTCAATTTCTGAACAAAATCACAGCCGCCTCTGCTCCACCCATACTTTCGCCAAGCATCACGATGAGAACCTTGGATACCCAAGAGGCCCTCCGCCACGTGAGCCTGAACCAGTTCTACCAAGGAAGAATGCATCAAACACAACTCTGGAACACATGAGACAAGAAGCTCTCTAACATGAGTTATTGGGTCTCACATTTGAAGGCAAAACATTCAAGTCTGGCAAGAGCGTTGTTGTTATGAAGGATAATAATGAGTGATTCCAGTCCTCGCACACCCCCCGACCCTGTCTCAATCGCATGGAGCCCGAACAATGCAGCTTAAAATGAGTTTGAAGAGGAAGCCCCATCAAACGTGCCCACAGTACAAGGAGTATGCCGCATGCCCCAAAAGTTCCTGCTGACTTGGGCAACCAGTCAAAATCACTCTGGCTCCAGAACCTGACCTTTCGCCGGCAGGCTTCCTACGAGATCCGGTCGACTGCAACCTTCGGCTGCTGCGAGGCAGGAGGAGCACGGTGGTACCTTGGTGACGAGGCTCCAGCACTGAAAAGCACTTGGATCATCTTGCATCAGTTCTAAACCCAGCTACCAAGTGATAGCATCCAATGTTCCATGCTCCTCTGTGGTCTTCCCCTACTGGATGATGTGTGGCCTTTGACAAAGCCCGCTTCACAAAGCGCACACAGCGCACCTCTTGGGTAAAGCTTCAGCCTCGAGGACCGCCGATGTGGAGACCAACGAGGTGGCCTCGAGGATGCAGAAGCCTTCCCGGATGGCCGACGGCCGAGCCACAACTCTTCGTCACGGCTCATGGGTGCCTCGCTTGGCAAGGCAGTCGGCTGCTCGAGGCCAGTCCCCCAGCTGTCCGTCATAGGCCTGCAGAAGTGACCAAGACGTGTGGCTGTCTATAGCCTCAAACCACTGGTTCTCACGAATCTATACGTGTCATCATTCTTTTACTTGGGATAGAAAGGAGGACCTCCCGCCACTGCTGATACACCTTGTTTTTAGCATGAAGACTGCTTTTGAATGAATAGATCAAAGACAACTAGCTTCGAAAGTCGTTTGATTGTCACAGTCTCGATTCAATCTCGGAGATGCCAATACCTACATACGCAGCCTATCAACATCAACCTGACCTGAACCTTTTCACCAAAAGAATGGCTATTGAATATTGGCTATCGCTAGCTATCACCAGCAAGAGAAAGCCAACCAGCTTGGGAAGGGTCCATGAACATAAAGTGTCTTGAATTGAAAAAGGTTGGCGGACCACAAGAACAACAAGAGCTCTTTCCGCATCAAATCATCACCTGCATAGCTCCCTGAGTGTCATGGCTTCAGTGGCTGCGGCTTTGGGTGGACTTGGAGGTTGACACTTGGATGTCCGTTGCACTGCAGAATCTAAGTGGGTGGAAAAACAGTGGGTTGCCTCCTGGATTAAATCCCCTTATGCCACTTGAACATGTGTAACGAGGAACTTGTCGGTGCAATTGACGCATGATAAATGTGGTCAGAATGTCAATGGGCTTGTAGACTCAGATGTCAGCCAAATGGCTCTTTCCGCTCTCACTCAATGGCCTCATCATATCCCAATGACGTCCGTTTTTTGATGACCTGTTTGATGATCTAATGGTCAACTGCTGCAAGTCAGGACATAGACATAGCTGGTCCACAACATAATCCTAAAATAACGGTAACTTCAATCTGACAGCAGCATAATATCCAAAATGCCGCGAAACCCACTGGAAATGACAGTTTGACACTGTCCAGGTCAGCATACATCTTGCGAGAACCCGCGATTTTCTCCAAGCGTGCTCATGCAGAGACTTCATTGGAAAGTGCTTGCTGTCGTATTGCAAACTTTGAAACCATCACCACGAAAACTAAAGTATCTGAAGGACTATATAAAGTAACTGAAGATTCTTGCGGTTGTATTGAATGAGAATGACATGCGCCAGCAATCAAAGCAGTTGCAGGCTGCATCAAGTGCACTGGTGTAAACCTATCACACCACAGCCATGTTGATGTCCTGCCAGCTGGCTGGTGGGAATGCATGCTGCAACAAAGTGCGACATTATCTGCCAACCAGTCATCTGCTGTGAAGTCTCCTGTGCTGACGCTTCTCCCGCTGACAAGAAACGTGTCTGGACAGTACCTCGGTCCCATTTCAATCATACAGAAGGTGCATTGTGCACAATGTCATGGCCGGCCAAGTTGTACAACGGCCTGCCTTTTGAATTAATTGGGTATTGCCCCAGGCGCAAACATCTTTGTCAGTTCACTGCGGCCGAGTTTCCCCCCTTTTGGATGAATGCGAAAAACAAACGTCCATCCGGAAGCTTGACAGCATCCGCAGCCACTAGCTCCGCCTGCAAAGCTGACATGCTTAACCACCAACACACACAATTGTGTTTACCCTTGCCAGCTCAGAGCTGTCATTTGGTCGACAGTTAAATCACGCAAAAGCATCACAGAGCTGTCTGGGGTATAGAGTACACTAAAAAGTCAGAGATCCTAGGCCAGTGGCCATGCGTCAGCCTCTACACTTGTCCTTCTTGGGACCTTGTTGTCAATTGCAAATATTGCGGGCACAAGGTTGGCAAACTGGCGGCAGCCGGTCAGTTTGACAAATACACACTTATCATATCACTCGTGATTCCATCCAGAGCGTCGTGGGGGTTGTCTGTACATGGGTGGGTACGTTGATACCCTTTATGTCCAATCTTGCTGTCTTGCTGCCTGCAGAAGTCGTAATGTGGTGGAATTAACCGCTAATAGATAATCAAGATAGGTGGGTGTCCATTTTACCTGGCAGTCTAGTGCGTTGCCGGTGTCCCTTGCTAAGTACGAACATTGCTCTCAATACACATCAGTTGTGTATTTGCAACAACTTTTATGTAAAGTGTGAGTACTCACTCTGATTGGGAAGCTGTTGCACTTTCAGTGCTGGTAGGCTGCTGCATTCAAACCAGCCACCTATGAAACTGTGGGTGAAAGAATCATTCAAGTTCATGTATGCAAGGGTGCTGTATGTTTGTTGCTGCGTTGCTCTATACAAACAAGAAGATGAAATTATTATGTTGTTCCCTGCAATTGTAGAGCAAGACCTTCTTTGGACCTACGCAACTGCGCAGCAAGCATGAGTTTACGGGTGCCAGTTGGCTGTCCGTTTTTGGTCTCCATGACAAGCACAAGCGAGAACTCAAGGTGGCTTTATAACCGTTGACCTGAAGATGAAGAAGCTTAGGATCTTCGGAATCAATCAAATATGTCTTGGCACCGGGGAAAATGTAAAAAACTTACGGGAACATATTCAAACACCAACCTCAATTGTCACCGCACCTCTGCCCAAGGTACCTCTTTGCAACCAGAGACTTGGCCCTCTGCACTAACTCCACAGACCTGGACATAGCTTTGAAATTGAAAGGCTGAGCAGGAAAAGTTTTATAGTGTTGAAAAGATTGACAAGCTTCGATGTATTCTTCACACCTTGGCAACGCTGCTTTTCCCAGCTGGCTGCATGTATGTGAATGTGCTTGGCGTCTCAGGTCCAGATGGCAAAGAAATCGCACCCACAAAAGAGTTGTAGCCTGTGTCCAGAACCTGCAGAGCTCGCAGCATGAGGATTGCCCACGCGGCGAGTACCCCGGAAGAAAAGATCGCCGTATTGTTTTTTCTGACGAGGTGCCGTCGGCTCTCCCACGGGGGTCATTTGATGCGTCGTTGGATGCAAACGAACCAAAGACATCTTTGTTTGCTTCTCGGCTCTGGAGTAGTAGGAGTATGCAAAGAGATTCTGCGAGACTAGGGCCTCAAACAGCAAAATGTTGAATCGAAAATGCCCCAAACCTAAGCATGTTAGAGTCTCGTAATTGCAATGATGAAGGTCAAGGCAGCCAAGGCACTACATCCCGGAGGTACATATCTGGTCGTCGTGGTTCCATCATAAGGTGATGTGAACTAATGACCAACAGGTCATCATCCTTGGAGTCTGCATTGGATTAACCACAACCTTGCAAAAGTCGATATCATGCGAGGTGCTCTTCAAGGAAGTGAGCAGCAAGTGCGACATAGATACTAGTAGGGTTAATAATAACAATAATAACAACAATACAGCAACAATTATAATGTATAGTACTACGAATACTTGCTAGCTTACCTCACGCCCTACACGCCTCCAAAAATTATATACTTTTTGTAATTGGCAAGACTTCGAGAGGTCTCGCTCACTGCATGGCAGCATTCAAGCGACTGATACCCCAACCCACTCTGACAAGTACAGCATCCGATACTCTCATCCACGTTGCTGACAGCTCCTGGAGAGCATCAAAGGCTCTTTAGTGCGCCAAGCTTGCCACTCAGCTTGCTTGGAATCACTCATCAAATGAACAAGGATTCTCTCAATGATACTCCCACCAAGACTGCTAATCGCCAAAGCCATTACTCCTAGCCTGTTTAGGATATATAGTTTCTCCTCTACAAACTTCCAAAAGTACAGACACATCAAGACGTCGGGAATCTCAACAAGGCACTCTTTGCAAGCCAAACAGCTTTTGTAGAGTCAAAGAAAGGCACAGACTGGCATATTCATTACACAATACGTTCACTAGCCCCAGAATCAACACTGTCTTCGCACGTTTTAAGGCTTAAGGGTTTCGCTCCTTTGAGGTTGCACCAATTTCGTCCTGTGTCGGCAGCTGGCGGAAAGCCACCACAAAGGAGTCCTGCAAAACAAGGGATTTGTCAAAACAAAGGGTACAGGCTTGCCTGTTCGGACATCTTCTCTTGACAAACTGGCAGTTCCACCAGCTGCCAGAAACTGCTAGAAATCGATTCAGGTCCTGGGTCCTGATGACACGACACTTTTGACATTGGGCCATTCCTACAAAGCAAGTTTGTTCAACTGCCCACCCTCTTCAGCAAGATCTTTTTCAACCTGGTTGAAGGATCAGTGGAGTGGGAACAACCACAGAGTTCATCGCACGATCCGGGTGCCAGCAAAAGGCATGTGGCATGTGCCTTTTCTTGAGCTCATGCTTGGCTTCTTGGATGCTGGACACCAAATCCCTGTGGCATTCGCAGGCGCGGCTTATCAGTTTTAGGATGACATGTTTTGTTGGCGTTTGCTTCGGCCACAAAGTGGGAGGGACTTGTTCGTGCTTATCCTGGTTTTGATATTGGTTGGTTGGCCTTATAATGGTTCGAGGGGTTCTGGATACCCGCTTAGAGCAAGTCTGAAATGTACCTGGCGGTGCGGTACGCGCGTGACCTTGCGAGGTGCGTAACTTATGACCGCATGAGAATAAACAGGGAGATGACCTCGCTTAGGTGTCCTTTGCACTTGCAGCAGGATCCCTCACCTATATCATCCCTACAAAGTTGATTGATCTCAGAGCACCCTCTAGTGTATGTGGTTGGCAGAAAACAATCCGAGCTGTGGCTCTATATACATCTTCAAAAGCACGAGATGCCCTAATGCCGAATGCCCTAATACTTTGCCTCTTGTCTAACAGCGTTCCACGTGGGTTCGTCTCTCTACCATTCACCGTTGGTTTTCTCAATTGGATAGGTGATAGGAGCACCTGAGGGCCACAAATGAAAAACTGAACAGTGCCAATCGCAGTCCAAAGCAAAAGTCAACGGCCTCGCGTGCCATTCAGAAACACCAACCAACTCTCTCCACAATGTTTCGGGGCCAACCTTGTGGTCTCTTGGATCAAAGTACCCATGCTTGCTTCGCAGCCACGCACAACTTGCAAACCTCCGCTGGACACCATAGTCCTCTGTCAGCTTGGTTGCAGCGATGTGCGACATTGGCACTTTTGCCTTGTCAAAATACGAAAGTAAATCACTGTACACTCAACAAACAGGTTTCACAACAACAATTTCCTCTACTTTGCAAAAAACTTGGCTGGGCACCCCGAAGTGGTACCGGCCGAGGAGGTTCACGCCATCCGAAACTTGAACAACCACTGCACGGCCTCCAGCAAAGTATGTTGCTGAATCAACGCACTTGAGACTTTAGAGCGGTTCTTCTTCAATCATCAAAGGGTCCCCAGGCCTATATTGATGTGATCCTCTCTTACACAGTTATATTCAGCTAAAGGTGGCCCTACACTGAGCATCATGTGGATTCTGCTGCATGTTGTTTGGAAACTGGTCAGGCTTACCAGACCTTGAAGCAAAGGGTCACTGAGCCATGTTCAGGAGGACGCTTCAACCTAAACCCCAACTTAATTGCTAATGCTTTGGGCCGTTCTGCTTTGGGGGCTTGCTCGTAAGTGCCACCCATGAGAACTTCAACGCCTAACCTGCCGCAGGCCACACAAGAAGCACAAGAATGAAGCCTCCTCCTACTCATGATTGGCAAGACAAAAAACGCCAGCATAGACCCCAGATAGCTAAAATTTCTTTGTGGCCAGCAGCAGCACCCTACCCTGCACCGGCACCAGCACCCACCCTCCACCCAAGCTCCACTGCCATAGACATCTGGCAGCAAAACCCTGCAGCGGCAGCCTCCACCCAAGCTCCACGCTCCAAAGCGCACACGGCGATGGACAAGAGGCACCGCCACCCAAGCTCCCATGGACACCCTACAGCAGCACTTTGGGGGCATGCCGCAGTGGCACCTGCACCCAAGCGCACACAGCCATGGACATCTCGCCGCAGCATCCTGGGTGCCCTTCAGCAGCACCGTGCAGCGGCACCAGCACCCAAGCTCAAAAGCGCACACGGCCATGGACACCCCACAGCAGCGCCCTGCAACGGCACTGGGGAAAAACACACACTGCACATGAAAGAGTGAGACACGATCAACAAGCTCAAAGAAGAAACTATCTGTAGTCTAGTAGTCAATATAATATCTACAACATATCAACGATGCTTGCAGCGGTTTCAAAGCACAACAAAATGAGACCATCCTTGTGACTGCCCAGGTATGGCCCAACGATCACACAGGTTCCCAGAGGTGATACGAGGAAAAAGTGAAAGAAGACTGAAGTGTTCAACACTTATAGTGTACCTGACATCTATGTTGTAGAAATGTCCCGCTGTTTCTTGATGAAATGCATGGAAAAGGATCTTTGAAGGGAAGCAGTAGGAACTGATCCGAAGTGACTGAAACAAAGTGCTGCATGTTGGCTTCGATTCATGCATGTTGCATTGGTCAAGGTCCGGTTCAGGTTTCAATCAAAGTGTTTTGATTGAACGCAAGTTGACTTCAAATGAATGAAGTTCAAACAAGTTGGAGCCAGCGAACAAGAAATCCTCGTAAGAGCAAAGCAAAAAGCTTTGCTAGCTCTTGAAATTCACTAGACGGTATCACCCTTTTGATGCAAATACATGTTCTCATGCAAATTCCGCTAATTTAGAAAAGGGTCGATTCAGGTCAGCCAAACCCTTGCAATTTAAGAGGATCCAAGAGGCATGTATCTTTAGATTCGATTATGAAGACTTCCAAACACGACGCCCACCAGGAAATCAACTATCAGCTGTCAACCGACCAGATACCCGGCGATCAAGCTATGCACCTTTTTCCTTTGTACTTCATAAATATTCTACTTGACCAACCAATATTGCGGAGAAAAGCACCAGCATCAGTTTAGCTTGGTTGACCCGTGGAAGATTTGTGCCTCCTGTGTTCTCTCCGAACAAGCATACCACCCTGGATGCAGAGAGTGGAACAAGCTCGACCGTCCTCAGCCACACAGCTAATTTATTCACCATGTAATCCCCTAAGAAAGTAAACTTTGGCAAGACTTGGCATTGAGCAATTCGGGAAGACTTGCAGGCTGCTAGCAATTCTTTAATAACGCTCACAGCAAGTAAATACTTGAGATTCTGTTGCTCTCAACTCTCTGACATGAAGAGAAAGCGAGCACAATTGAATTCGAAATCAATGATGCAGCTCCAATGAATCCGAAACACTGGTGAAGCTCTTTTGCCAGCAAAAACGGAGTGCTGAGCTCCACCTGTCTCAACGCAAAGCTAGAATCAACCCCCAGTGCAAAGTCTGCGAAAGAGCGAAGATTGGCAGCTTCCCAAAGCACACTCGGAAGTGTCACTGCCTTGAAGCTGCTCAGGTCAGACTTGTCAAGCTGGCCACGGACTATATAGCCTGCAAACTTCTGTATCTGCAGCGACACTCGCAATCCCCAAGACCCTGCCTGAACCTTGCTCTTCAGCATCACGATAGGCAATGAGAATTTTCTCCCCAAGACTTACCTCGGCAAAGTATCATGTCGGCAGAAAACGTGCCGAATGCACATATATATATATATATGTATATAAGTATGTATGTATGCTCGCGAAGACTCAAGAAATGGCTTTTGCTGGTCTTTGAGTCAAGTTGCTAGCTTCGGGGCGAAGGCCATGGATTTACTTGAAAAGAGCTGCCACTCGCTCCAAACAACTTCAGTGGACTTCACATGTCCAACGGTCAAGAAGCCCTGGTTGCCATTCAACCTTATGCAATTCAGGAAAGGAAGAAACAATATCACAACATGAACACCACCGATGGCAGCAGGTCAAGCCTCACATGCGCTGAAGTGCTGCCGAGGCTCTCATCACGCACAGCTACAACTACACCTTGTTGGCATGTCCGGAGCAATCAAAGTTAAGGCTCAGCCTTTTGGAGTGTGTGGCTTCCATTCATGGCTTGCCAAAGACCAACTTGTTGAGTCCTTCATTAAGAGCAAAAATCTTGGTGGACGATGGCTAAGGCTGCTGAGGCGCTATGCTCACCAAGCAGAGCGAGACCTTACGACGTGTCGATATCGCAAGCATAGGTGACGCATGACGCGGGCTGAGTCACTTGTGAAGAAAAAGAATCAATGATACAAGTGTAGCATGAAGCAAGGAGGCTTCTGAGCTCCATGCTGACATCTTTTGCAGCGACAGGATCTGGCTTGCTGCCCGCTGCAGACCATGGTGAAATAGGCCTTAAATATGAGATATATAAATATAACTGAGATAACACATACGACTACCTGAAAATAATCTTTCAGTGGGTCAGTCCAGTTTTGCCAAGGCTCTGCGGCGAGTAGAACATATCTGCAGTGCACTTCGAAGGCCGACAAGTGAAGCCATCGCCGCTAAAGCATGACACCTGAGACCCAATCGTAGCAGTCTTCCCTCGACACTGAGTTTTACAAAGATGTGGCATTCATCGTTCACCCTTGCGGGAGCAGGATGTCAAGACCAAGATGCACATTCACAGAAAGCCCTCTTGTTTTGGTTTGACCTGACACAATGCCAAACGGGAGTCCAAAATGTGTCACACTTTCATAGTCTATCAAAAGCTTTAATGGAGAACTTGAGACTCAACACAACACATGCTGAGAGCATCGCTTGCAAACGGCATGATTGCCACACGTCAGAAAATCACAACTAGGAGCACCACCTCCCGATGATAAGGACGAAAGAAGACAGTAAACCAAGAACAAGAAAATCAAAACAACCAACAATGACAACTCTCGGCCTCGTGAACCAAAGGCTGATCGAACAGTGTGGTAATATTGTGCGGCTTCAAGGGATGCAGCCTCCGCTTCTACCCTGGCCAATCCAACACAAGTGCATCCATGAAGGCAACCAACATGGACCAACAAGGACCTTTGATAGATTGTCCGGTTCAACCATCATGTACAAAATCATACCAAAAATAGCATATACATAAAAAAGAATCTATATATATATATACACATAGCGGGATCCAAATGTAGTTGAGCCAAGCTAGGACCTTTAAACGAGGCTTCGGCTTGGCTTCGGCTGGGGCTTGGCTTCTGGTTGGCCGTTTGGCTTCAAGTTCAAGCGCTTCCAGCGAAGCCAAAAAACCGTAAGCAGACCGCAGCAGACCGAAGGACTGAAGAACCACAGCACCACCAGACTGGACCACAAAACTGAAAAATACACCGAAAACGGTAAGTATCTTTCGTGCACACACCTGCCGATTTGTTGACCCAGATCAACTTTGACAAAGCGACAAGGCTGTCCATTGCGAACTTCACGGGAAGGTTGCTGCTGCACACTCTTTATGGTAGTCGTTTCACAATTGTTTGCGTGCCCAAGCCTTTCTCGTTCAGTGTGCTTCAAGGTCTCCTCCAACAAGTTCAAGTTTGTAGGGTCCTTGCAAACCACAAAACACTCAGCCAAATGAAATCTCTACACCTTGCATTTCGCAACACAAAATACTCTATTTTGTTCCCATGTGGTCTCATTCATTTGGTGGTGAAACTGCACAACATGGTCCTTGTCCCAAACATTAGGTTCGATGAATTCATTCAATATCAAAAGCGACAAACATGACTTCAAAAACAATCAAATGGGCATTGAAAGCACTCGTTTCTGCTTGCCGGCTGCCTCCACCTGTGCCATTGCACCCCGAAGTCTCTTCAGCTCACTATTGAAATGTTCGTGCGACACGAAGCTTTGCTGCTTCACATACGCCTGAACAAATTACAAAGTTGTTTGAGTAATCAAAATACTGCGCAAAACATTGTGTTTTGAGAAAATTGTGGATGAACTGATGAACCCTCCATATGAAACTCCACACAAGCTGTCATTGATCTTCGTCTTCGTTGCTAGCACAGAACCACCATTCCAAAATAATGAAACAAGCAAACCCTATGTTCCCGATCACCTGCAGTTTGTCCAACATCTCAGCCACATAGTTCACATCCAAGTCCTGTTTTCGGAAGACAGTACATAGCAGTGCAAACCCAACGCCACACTCAAAACATGTGCCTGCGACACCTCAACGGCCACACCGCAAGGAAACTGCAAGACCAAGAGCCACATTATCTGAGCAACGGAACCGCATCATTGTCATGGTGGAATATTTATTGGCCTTGTCATATACCAGGAAACATCATGTCATGTCATGTGGAGGTTGAACAAAGCAAACAGTATTGGGCAAACCTTAGAATTGCACACACTGCCCTGGTAGAAGAGCACTCCAAATTGTACTTGCACGTGTTTGTGTGTGTGCATGTTTAGGTTTATATACAGTAAACCATACACACGACATGTTCTGCAGCTTTGTTTTGAACCTAGTGGTCACTTCATCATATTGTTGGATGTCGCCAAATCTATTTTGTCAACTTGTCCCCACACCAACAAGCTACTTACAAATGCCGTTGATTTGAAGCAAAACTTCCCCCAGCCTCGAAACATGCTGCAAGCCGCAGGATCGCAGCATGTGCCATCACAAGCAGCGAATTTTCCGCTGCCTTCAATGGCAACATAATATTCAAACCCTTCCTCACCCAAACTGGTCCAACAGTCACAGTTGACAACTTTCACCGTGACCGCCTGCTGGCTGCCGCGCCACGGCAAAAGGGCCCAAGAGCCCCCCTTGAGAATCAAAGGCCAAAATATGAAAGCATCTCCTTCAAGATCACCACAATTGACCTACCTGTGGGTTGGTTGACCACCTTTTGCACTGTGATGTCCACCGGCTGTTCTAAACCAATGACCTTTCAGGCATCCCCGTGCGAACTTCAGGTGAGGGTTACTCCCCATTCTATAGTGATAAGACGGGGACACCCAACCTGGGGTACCCAACCTGGGGTACCCCGCAACACTATAGAATCAAAGCCTGAGGTGTGGATGTCAGAAATGCACCTCTAGAAAGTCGAGGCAGCCCCTTAACATCAGCAATGCAACAAGTGCCCAAGATGGGCCTCTATAAATTGAATAGCCGGCATCAGGTTAGGATTAAAAATCCAATTTGTAAGATGTTGTTCAAAAGTAGAATTCTAACATTGTCCCGTGGTTTTCATTTTTTGCAAGTTGATTCAACAACGTTCAACAATATTCAACATATCATCCTGATTCATTTTGCAACTACGCATTGAAAGAAGCAGGGTGTCAAATTGTCTCTATAGATTCAATACGATTGCAGTCCGACTTTCTCCTGGCTTGTGTAGCAAAGGCCATCACTGCCTACACACCTTCGCTGCTCTGGAAGACAAGACGGTAGACCTTTCCTACTTGGCATCCAATGTGAACTTCAGCCTGTTCGAAGCTCAGCTGCTGCAACGGAGCCGGGCAAAATGCTGCTACAGTAGACCAGGTGGGAAGGAAACATGGTTTTCATGCATTCCTTGGAGCCCTGCAGCAGTGGGTGTGATCTCGACCTGGACCATGCCTCTTCGCTGCAGGACTAGCCCACAGGCTTTGCTGTGCTTTAATGCCCTCTGGGAATGTCAGCTGTGGGAGGAACAAGGCAAGTATGCCTCACGAAAGGATGTGGGTGCCAACATGTCTCTGGCCGTGAGCCAATTGGCACATGCACTGTTTTCGTCTTTTCCAACTTGAAAGTTGCGAGCAACAGGGATGGAGGTAATCTCCTGGCCAGAAACGGACATGAGAGACAAGCATGCTCTTTTCCACGAGTGCGGACGCCATGTGGGCGGTGTGCCTAGGTCATCGTAGAAGCTTTTTTTCCACGAGTACGGACGCCGTGTGGGCATGGTGCCATCATTGAAGGAAGGGAAAAACAGTCAGATGGTGGAGAAAAAGACAAGACAACCCAACCAAACAACCGTAAACCACAGCCTACAGGCCGAGTCTCCACCATCTTGTAGTCTTCCTCTGTGCTGAGGTGAAACAAGTGAAATGAAAAGTGCTGACTGTCAATGGGTCTGAATTCTCGTGCTCTGGAAAAGTTTCCAAAAAGTCTTCAAATGGAACTCTCATCCTGCTGGCTTACCATGTTGCGAATGGCGAAAAGAGGTTGGCGATCCCACTCAGTGTTTGCGCATTTCCCTTGCCGTAGCTTGCTGGCGGTGCTTGTCCACCATTCCCAAGCTGGAGCTGGCGCTGTATGCTGACCCGGCAGACTGGCTGCAGGCCTTCTGTCCTTCTGTGCAAAGACCTGTGAACCCAAATTTGATGAAGCCAACAGGACCCCTTGCAGAGAGCAAAGAAGGAAAGCGGCATGCAAAGCCTTTTTTGCCCTAGCTAGACTTCGGCGCGTACAAGTGGAAGCAAGCTACCACACCATCGAGCGACAAGCGTGGCGATATTGCCACACCCTTGTCATCGTCAGGCTGCCCGGCTCAGTGGTAACTGTTGAGAATGCCAGTGACAATGCCAGGGTGCCTACATCTTGGCGCCCGCCTCTTTGCAGAATGTTGTGCCCTCGAACAAGTGGAGACACTCACAGCACGCTCCTGTCATTTAGCTGGAGGAGCGACCATCTCCCCCTATGCCTTTGAAGGATGCGCAAGGCTGAGCAGACAGGTCTTCCCTTGACCAAAGCCATCACTGGTAGTCAAGACATAACATCCCCTCCAGAAGGGTTGCCGACGGGGTGCTTTTACTCGGCAGGCATACAAAACATCAATTTTCCACAATGCACCGTGTTTATTGGGCATAAGGCCTTTGCTCAATGCCAACAGTTAACGACGGTCGATCTATCGCTCACACAAGTAAGGACGATGCAAGTGCAAGTGTTCTCACGCTGTCGGACCTTGGCACAAATTTCTCTGCCGAAGTATCTCACAGAGATATGTGCCGAGGCCTTTGAAGCTTGCGCCTTGCTGAGTACAGCAGCGCTGCCACAGCCGTGTCGCAGCATTGGACATCGCGCTTTTGCGGAATGCAACAGTCCAGTCTGCTTCACGTATCGCAGCGCTCAGGCTGGCCAACATGACATCCACGTAGCAGCTGATGCTTTCGAAGGGTGTCTGGCTCTAGCTGTTCCTAGCAGAATCTGTGTCTTGTCCACATGGGGGATTGACAAGGGCCTGTAGGCAGGAAAAAAAACTATGCGTAATTAAAAGCTGATGGCTGCCCGTGCAGTTGTCTTCCCCCTTATTGGACAACAGATACTACTGTGAATGGACTCTGACAAGATTTGTACGACATGCAAGAATGATGTGGGACGTGATGCCATTAGGCTCGAGGTGGAAAGTTTACTACCAAATGGGAGGGTGCCTGCCATGCTCGCTGACCACATTTCGGTGTCTACCTCGCAGTGGAGCGAAGAGAGAGCAATGGTAATACACCTGATCCTGACCACCTTAGCCGGGGAGGAGGCCCAGCTGGCAATTGAAATTCAAGAACATGATCGGTTTCAAGAACGAAAATGCTGTAATGGAGCAACTCCCCATGATAGGTGAGAGCACTACCTTTGGGTGTGAGTTAAAATTTGTCTGCCGCAACTCGCAACAAACGCTGGTTGACCCAATTTGGCAAACTTTGCGAGACTGCAATTGTTTCACGGTGGTGGTCAGCCCTTGCATAGAAGTAGCCGAGAGAAAGGGGCAAATGCAAGGGGAAGCCAAAGCCCTGCGTATTCCTTTCAATGAACACGACAGAATTTTTCCACAGGCTTTTGAGCATGTTACAAAGGTGAGGCATCTACAAGTTGATGCTGGATATCGCATAATAGGAGAAGGAGCTTGGCGCAATTGCCAACATCTCCAAATTGTGCATTTGGACAGCACGGTCACTTGTTTGCAAGCGCAAGCCTTTCGCCGCTGCTATGCGCTGCGACAGATCCTAGCCCCAGGTTGCAAACAGTTCGGAACACAAGTCTTTGAAGAATGCTGCTCCCTACTGCAAATTGGGATTGCTAACGATACCATCAATCAACTTGCTCCGCAAGCAGAACTCATGCCTCGAGCCTTCCGCAAATGCACAGCCTTGCGACAAATCAATCTAGAACTGACAGAATACAGCCCTCAGGGCCGCCTTACGCGTTGTTTGCCGGAATGCTGCTTCCTTGAAGCAGGCCTAACTTCCCTGACCCTGCCACCTGATTTCACCTGGATTGGACCAGCTGCCTGTGAGCGATGTATGCAGCTACAACTTGTAGACCTTTCGCGTATTAAGATCACAGAAATCACGAGCTGTGCCTTTGCTCACTGCAAACACCTACGAAACTTGAAACTCCCAGGGCTACTTCGAATGATCCGACAGGAAGCTTTCCTTCACTGTACGTCTTTAACAGAAATTTATGCACCTCCCACACTACTCTACATTGCACGACGAGCATTCGGAGGGTGCACGCAACTCTATCGATTCCAGAGGTACGGCAAAAGCGTGACATGGAGGGGAACGTACTCTCGCGAGAATGCGTTCCTGCGGTGTGATAACTTAGATATGCCGAATTGGATTCGATGGTTGCCACGCACGCAAGAAGACGAGGATCAATGGGCAGATGATTCCCTTGCCACCCTCTAGTAGGGTTCGGTGCAGACCCACGTTTGGCCACCATAGGTCCCTGCGTGCAACTGTGTACTGGCCCAGGCTAGGTCTGATGCCAACCCATTGGGGACTCATTCTAATAACGCTGTCCATCGATAGGTCACTGAAGTGAGCTCGAGTAAATGTGCCAGTCATCAGAGCCAAGGGAGCAATAGAACCATATGGCGCACGCATCAGCGCATACTTTCCTGATTGTTGCTAGTGTACTGACTAGCGCCCGTGTGCCGGTCCTAAGAGTACCAACCAATAGTGCAGCACAGCTCGACTTCGTTGATCTGAATAGTTAGACAGTCCCAGACTGCTACCTGTGTAGTGGTTCTGGATGAGTACAGTGTACAGCATTAGGAAAACGGCGTTTCACCATGTCTCACCTCATTCTTAGTTTCAGGTAGTTTATGGGGCCCTGCATGAAACGGCTGCTTCTGCTGGCCGCGTTTGAAAGAACCAGTCAGATGGCCGAAAGCGATTTTTTTGCAGCATCTCCACGACATGAGTGCCCTCTCCTGGAGCACGTCACGTCTAGAACCCATTGCCGAGCTGTTCGTGGGCCATCGTTGCTTGATGTGCTCTGGTTAGTGCCTCCCCCCTCGGGGGGAGGTACGGTGTGAGCCACTCCACTGCCCTTGAACCCCTCTTTGTGGCCTCACATGGTTTTTCACTCTCGGTTTTTTGGAAATGCCGAGCTTGAAGGCTGTGGTCTTCCCATGCTGCCACTCATTTGGTTCCGCATACCTGTCACTGCCAGCCATCGAGTAAGCCATCTGGCCTGAATGTGCCCAACTTTGAATACAATGGGACATTCCTAGGTATCCTTGCGTATCCGCATTCGCTTAGGTACTCACACATCAAACGACTGTGAAAAGACGATGTTAAATTGTGGATCAGGTTTCGACCAATGTCCTCATTGCCGCCCAAGCTCAATACTCGTAGTGACTACCACTGGCATATGGCCCTCAACACCGTGTTTGCGATGTTTTGCCCTTGGCGCCTTTCCGCTTACACTTGTGCCTCCTTGTTGGATGCACTCCGTGCACTTCGTTGAAGGACAAGAAGTACTGAGCGTTTTTGCTGAATTCATCGCCCCTGTTTCACCTTTCTTCATGCCCTCACGGCCACTGAGTTACTTCACAGGTTGCGCTTGTTTTTGGCGGGTGTTTTTGGTTTGGGTTTTTGTTTGGCGCTCTGTTCGTTTTCCTCTTGTGTCGCAACCTGATCTGTAACTCACTCTCAACTCGACTAAGGTGACTTGTGCATAACCTGCACACACAGCGCCTCCACTCGTGCAAAAAAAAAGACTGACACAGGGGTGTCGGCGGGTCCAACTTCGAGAGCAGCCCCTGTGCCTAGAAAAAGGTGCGCGCGGTCACTGTTTCATCTCAGTTGCGCGCATGTTCAGTCATGACGTGTGACCTGTCTGGTTTGGAGACTGCAATAATGGGTTCAAAACTAAAGACGAATGGTTCCTCGAGAAATAAGTGAGAACTCTTTGGAACAAAGATTATCACTTTATTTCAGAATGGAAAAATTTTGGCAGGAAAATTAAAGGAGTCTTCAACCGTCTCTCTTTAGAGATGTGGAAACACGAGAGTGGACATAAAGGATTGAACGTGCGACCACGAGCTCGGGCTCTAAGGGTGGGTGGTGGGTGAGCTTGAAATAAAGCTCTTAGATAGGTCGTTGCCCTTCACCCGCCCTTTGTCTTCGACCCACCCAAGGGCAACCACTTGACGTGCTGTCCGTAGGAGGAACTTGAGCCGCTGTCTGCGCAGCAGTTTCGGATTCTTTCGCTTGCCCACCTTCAACCGCTTCGTGTGTGCAAGCTCGCCGCCTCTGGCCTAACCCTGCCGTTTGTCGGCGGGTCCAACTTCGAGAGCAGCCCCTGTGCCTAGAAAAAGGTGCGTGCGCTCACTGTTTCATCTCAGTTGCGAGCATGTTCAGCCATGACGTGTGACCTGTCTGGTTTGGAGACTGCAATATAATAGGTTCAAAACTAAAGACGAATGGTTCCTTGAGAAATAAGGGTGATGCCACCTCTACCACCTGAAAGTGTTTAAACACTCACTATGCGAAGGAACGTGGCTGAAGTGTGGCTAGCTAGAAGCAGTACAGTGCAGAGCAAGGGAAAGACACTAGCAACACGTACTTTTGTGTTCGTGTGTGTTGGCTTGAAAAGGTTGCTTGTCCGGTGCGGATCCGGTAAGAGTAAGGCTCGCTACTTTTCACAAGAAAGGGGAAGAAGGAAAGTGGGAAAGGGTTGGAAGAAGAAGAGTGGAGGAGAGGCCTGAATGTTGTGAACTTTGGGAGGACAAAAGCATGCCAACGAGTTGCGCGTTCGTCACCGAAGCATGTCACTGGACATTTAGTGAGCTGTCATATCGCTGCGGCCAGAAGACGGAAGTTCATCTTGGGTACAGACAACATGACTGAAAAAAATAATGTGTTTTGATGTTGGAGTTGAAGGAGCGGCGTCATCGTTGTCAGCAGCTTCAAAGAGGCAGTTTGAGATAGAACTGTTTTTTCACAGACTTTGCTGTATGGGCTGTTTTTTTGTTTTGTTTTGGCTGGATGTTGGTCCACACTGCAAGTTGCAGACCTGTCCCGGCAGCCAGCGGACTGCACAGGCTTCGAGATCCATGTTTTGTTCATGGAAGATGGGCGTGAAAAAGAATGCACGTCAGACAAGGCTCATGCCCTTCCCACAATCCCACAGATGAGAAAATTGGGCCTGCTTGGAACACCCTCACTTGGAACAATTTCATTTGGTGTCGAATCTAAGTTTGGACCCTGGAACTGGCTGAGCTGCGCAACGGTGAAGAGATTTGATTTCTTTTGGTGACAATCTTCATGGTGGTTGGATGGGTGTGGTCTTACACCATCAGAACCAATAGAACACAGTGTGGCACATGCACATTGCAGAATTTGCAAAAGAGTTTTGTTGAAGGGCTTGAAGCCGGAACGGTCCATGTACAATGTGACAAAGTTGACAGGACCTCTTTTTTCCATGGCAGCTTTCGAGAACAACAACCATTTTGAGTGTCGTGTTGCAGCTCAAGAAAATGCGTGCACCAAACATGCTTCATGTGGAAAATTTTTATCAAAACATCTGTTTCTTTTGTTCCTTTTAGCGACGTGAGGTCTGACTTCAATGCGCGCAGTGCGAAAAAATGGAACCAGTTCTCACAACGAATGCTACGTGTGGCTTTGTCAATGTTTGCAGCAGTCTTGAAAGCTGCTCGCATGAGCGGTTTGTGTGGAGTGTTCAGTGGGAATCTTGGAAGTTGGGTGCGGGCCGTCACCCTTGCATGTGCGGAAAAAAATCAAGGTGTTTGAGTTTGGGCTTGTGGTGATCAAAGTGAGTTTGTCATCCCTTTGTTCTTTAAATAGAGTGCGCAGCTTCCGGTTGACAGTTTTTGTCACTTTGCACAACAACGATGGTGTGCAGTCTGGATGCGTCCGGTTCCTTTTGGCTCTCTGCGTTGCACGTGTCTGAACAACAATACAAAGAACCGACGGTTTGTAGTTTTTGGGCATATTTTAGTCTGGATTTGATTGATTGTTCAATCAATTTTTGGTGCCATGGAAGAGAGCGTCAGCGTCGTGCTTTATTTGGCAGTAGTTGCGGCCTTCGAGGTTTTGGTTCTTCTCTCGTTGTTTGTTTCTCTTTATCGGAAAGGCTGCAAGGAATTGTTGAACCAGATCCGACAGTTGCTCTCTTCACTATATTCTTTGTTGGGCTGTGGAAAGACCGTGAAGGAGCAGAAGATCAATCAAGGACGGGGTTGGGATTATGTGGGAACTTGTGGGGCTCAGCGAACCAATGTCCACTCTGTTTGTTGCATGTGGACAAACTCGTCAAGTGATGTTGCCAGATGCACCTTTTGAAAGGCATCACCTTTCTTGTAGCTCTGGGTTGCCCCCTGTGCTGCACATCACCCAAAAGATGTTGTAGCCTCTCATGAGGGAAACTTCGCATTCAGCCGTTTTGTTTTGTACCCGCAGACCACGAACCTTGCACAGAAACGAACCACTTCCACCCGGCTTGTGTTGGTATTGGACGACATTTGTCACTCATTTCAAACATTTTTTGGTGGAAACCTTTCCAGGCGTTCAGAGATTCCGGTTGCGAATCTCTCATTCATTGATGACGCTGCTCTCGGCTGAAATTTTCATGGTGAACGTCACACTGCAGTTCTTGAGCAAGAATGGTGGGACAGGGTATTGGGTGGGAACGTTCCAACTTGTTCCCTCGAATTCGTCAGATTTATTGCGTGTTATGGATAGACCGCAGCAGGAAGACTTGTACGGCGTACTTTGACCTTGGTTCAAAGCAACCAAGGATTTCGTGAATTCAACTGCCGAGCTGCTAAGGTTGGCCAGCTTGCTGCCAGCCTTGTCTGCCAAGCATTTGATGACACCTCCGCAGATGTGGACAAGCTTTGCTCTCTTGCTCCTGCTTTCCTTGACGAAGCTCTTGCCCATCCTGCGCTCCAGCACGCACCTTGGCAGCCTTGGCAGGAACTGTATTATATATGCAATTATGTTTGTTTTCCATTCCTTTGATCTTTTCCGCTTCATCTTCCCTTGGAACACATTTATACATTTCTTGGGCTTTGACTTTGACCACTGTCAAAGTTCCTTTGACAAGGTTGGATGTTTTCTACGTGCTTATCTCCATCCTTTGCGTACTTTTTGTTTCCCCATGGCACATTGACAAGACTTTCTACCTTCGATATTCCCTGATTGCCCTGGCCTTCATTCGGATGCCCACAGTACTCTTGGCCTCTCGAATCTCCGTGGTCGTCGCTTGCAACGTGCTGGCTTTGCTGAACATCAGTTTGCGGGTGAGTTTTGAAGACCTGAATGCCCCTGAACTTCGAATGTCTGCAGCAATTGCACTTGGAGTTGAGGTGATGAGCTTTTTCGGTGTGATTTCCTTCGGAATCTTCATGAATTCCTTGGTTCGACAAAGAGTGGAAAGTCAATTGGCCTTAGACAACATGGCAGAGCAGCTCTCAGCCGCCTCTTCCTTGTTGCGCTTGACCTGCGATGCTGTCATCGAGCTGGATGGGAAGCAGCGATTGACACGACACTCACCTGAGTTGGCCACGATGCTTCTCATAGATCGTCCTGGTGCGACTTTGGAGGGCCGGAGCTTGATGGAGTTCATGCCCCCAGAGGCCGGTTGCACCTTGCAGCGCCGGTATTTGTTGATATGAAGCCGCTTTGGAGGGTGATCGGCAAACACGAGACACCTATTCACGTATACGTATATAGGTTATACACAGGTTTGAGGGCATGCCTACCAAATGGTTAGCTACCATAGCTACTACCCTCAGGAGACTGCTCGAGGGCGAGACTTTTTGACCAAGCTGATCCCATCAGAGAGTGATGATCCTTGCGAGCCCTGTATCACAGCACATGCCTTCCATACTCGCTTGGTGGACAGCGCTGCGAGCAAGATGCAGGTGGAGGTGTTTCAGGTGAGATTTGACACAGATGATGGCACAATACACAGCTTGGTGGGCTTGAGGGACTTCACTGATGTCACATCTTTGTCTGGTGGGAATGAACATGCACAGCAGGACATGCTCCAGGCGACATCCTTTCGGCACACGGAGTTGTCCATCCGAAGCTCCGGTTCAGAGCTCAGCCCAATGAGGAGCACGCGCAGTTCACAAGACTCCATGATGACTGCGGAAGATGAGGCACATGGATGCCTGAAAGAGAGAACGCCGAGCGAGGGAAGATGTTAGGGAGTGAGGGGACCTCCTTCCGCAATCGGACAACTCCTTGATTCAGTGGCAGCGGGTAAGGTAGGTAGAACATAGTAGAACCAATGAACTACTTACTTATATCAATATAATACTGTACTTGTCCCTATATATAAAAATATAGGATTGTTCAGGCGGTGCATTTTCTTGATTTTCCGCGCTCACCCAAAGGGCTTTGTTGGTTTTGGATGACAGTACTGGCACGGTGCATGCATTTGCCAAGATCTTATGTAGGACGGGTTGGATTCAATGATTGCATAGGTCTTGAGTCATGACAATGTCATGACAATCGAACGGCAACCTTCGTTGTTAGTGGTAACTTAGTTGGTTGGATGTGGCTAGGATGATGACATCGTCAAAAGTCAAAACTATGCCACAAACCAGGTCTTCAATTCGAAGTTGATGACTCTGGAGATCGACATGGAAGGCCAGTGGAAAGGTGAACAGCTGTTAGATTACTGTAGCACAGTCCAGTTTCCTTAAAAATCTAGGAACCAAATCATTAGCGCGAGCTATCCTGCGTCCTGTCGGTAGTAGCTACCTTTGCAGCTAGTAGCTACCTCTCCCTCCTATATATATATATATTATACATACACAATAAAATGTATGCATCACTGCGTGACAGATCTTTCCAGCCAGGGGGGACACTTGTTCGCAGGCATGGTGCTCCATGCGGCCTCTTCTGCTTTGTCCTCCTGGGTGGGCAAGTCGGTGACAGAGGTCTTCCCATCGCCTCACACTGTCCTCCTTTTGGAACGCAACTTGGAATAGCGACGATGTAAACCATGCAGACCCTATTCCATCCTGAAACTCATCCTTGGTGTTGTGTGGTTGAGGCAAGATGACCACACCGGTCTGCAATTGCAAACAGTGCGAGCATTTCCACCCGCTACGCAAGCGCAGAGGGGTGTGATTTGCTGAGGTTTGGCGGCAGAGTCTTGTGAAAGGGAGGACGCAAGTGAGCAGGAAAGGCATGGCCGAGTTTTGGCCTTCCAGGTGCCGACTGGGAGCTGCAAAGTGATAGTAGGGTTGGAGTCAGTGTGTTATTTTTTGGGTTTGATAGACTCGATAGACACACAGTTGCATAAAATTCAGAAGTCGATATGTTGCTTCACGATGTTCTGCTTTGTGGACCTTTAAGTGTTTTTATTCTTATTTTACCAAGTTGGTATTTCGGTACATTTTTGGTGTTCCTGACACAATCACTGCTTTTTTGTAGATGAACCAAAACTCAGTCTGCAGGAACTGCCCGTGAAGGGTGCCAAGATCAGTCGAATCACGGGTACCATGCGGCCCATGAAGAACAGATACGGCCGCATCCATGTGCTAATGGCATTTTCTCCATGCAGGCTGGGTGTCCAAACATAGGAAAGAAAGGCCGGTGATTTTCTGCGCCATGTGGTTTATTTTACCCGGTGTGTTCAGCTTTTTAGCTGGAAATTTCACCCGAGGGAAAATACGACTCACCTGGCTGCCTAGCTGCTTTGTTTGCAGGACAGCTGAGCGAGGATCCGAGCGCCGCTCCCGGAATCAGGAGTTCCGTGCGCTCCCAATCATTCCACTATAGAGTCTAGATTGGGAAGTGAAGTACATTATTATAAGTTTAGTTAAGTGATAGTGTATTGTTGGTAGAGTCTCACTGACTTTGTTGACTTCAGGTGGTTTTTTCAATGCTTCAAACTCATTCTATAGATTTGTTTTCCTCAAGACATGCCTGGCCGCACCCCTTTCCTGCCTCAGTATTTGCAAGAGGCAACAATCAGATGGGGACAAAGACAGAATGGATTTCTGTCAACTGCTTCCCAATCTGACCAGATTCCAGTTGTGTCATCAATGGAGTGCACGGTTATATAACGTGCTTGCAAATGCAACTTCCTCAGGATCCGATCCACCTAAGACAGGTTCCAACTTGTAGGGTAAAATCCTTTTGCTAGGGTATTTCCAGCCTTCTGTGTGTAAATGGCAACTTTCACAATTGATTTGATTGAAGTTTCTTATGCTGAGAGAATCGGATCCTGGAGAGCCGGCACTGTCAGATCCCATTGCCGCATCGTGAGGCAAATCTAGCACTAAATTGGGAAATGAAGGTTGACCCATCATGCAATCCAGCATTCATTTTGCACTTCCACCTTACGCTGCTGGCTCTACCATCGGCAGCAACTACAAGTCTGCTGAATGGAAGCCATGCAGAAAGATCCTTATTGAAAAGCCGCCAAGTTAGAAGAAAGCATGGAAGACTCCCTTTGAAGCTTTAAGAACAATTTCAATCCCGTCATCCTTGCATCCTTGCCAATCCTGTTATCTCCAAATCCCTGGGGTGCCAGGTAAGACCCCAATGGGCAGAACGCTGTGGCGCAGGGATTCAACTGTGAATTTTTTGTCCGAATTCCCAACGTGGAGTTCGTGCTTCAGATCGAAGAATTTGGTGCACTGGTGTTTGCTGGAAATCCTCCATGTTGTCAGCACAGAAAAAAGGACACTTCACTGTCTATCCGAAGCCAGTTGACCAAAGTTGACCAACTCCGCGTTTTGGGCCAACTCCGCTAGAAGGCGTGGAGCCGTACTGGCCCGGTTGAGCTGAACCACAGTGAAAAAGGAAGCAATTCGACGGTCGTTTGGCAGCAAGACTGGCGTCAAACCCGCACAGACACCATGTAAAGAATTTTCAATCTTTCGCTTGAATCCTTTGCTGCTTTGGAAATTAACACTGCAACGCTGCGGAAATATCTATTGTCTGAGGCACCTTTGGTTCATCGGGACGGCATTGCTTCGAGTTCTGAAGATCAATCTGGAGCTCATTGATGGAGGATTTGTCCTCCAGTTCTTAAGACGCCTTGTTTGTCATTCAGACACCTTGCTTGTCGCCAGTGCAAAGGATTCTCTGTAAGCAAGTCGTATTCCCAGCTCCCGCTCCGCACAATGGCATGAGCACAAAATACAGTGCAAAGAGAGCACGGCATCGGGTGGGATCCCCAATAACGCGCAATTGATAGCGCTGCAACCCGTTTTTGAGGCATATCCTATCTCACTTGGACACAGTGAACACCAAGCTGGACAACATTTCTTGTCGACTTCCCCAAGCTGGCCATAGTCCCAAAGCTTTGGGGGCCCCACCCGAGACATCCTTGTCTACGTATGGATATTGATGAGTCATCGCAATGTGCTTGGTGTTCTATTTTGAGATTTACATGAACGAACCAGACGAACCAAGGTGGCAATGGTCTTCATCATTCGAGACAATTGTTTGTCCATGTTGGTCCCCCGCCTCTTCACCAGATGCTTGTTTCTGTTTTGGCTCAAAGAATCGTCTTCCAGCAAGTCGATTCTCTCAGTCTGTGTAGAAAAAGAAAGTGCGTTTGAGCAATGGGGTGTTCCCTGTCTGCAAGTGCTCTGCGATTTAAGTCATGTCCAAGGACCAACTACAAGAAAGCCCTCAAGCTCAGAGTACACTCTTCTTCCTCCCCATTTAAGCGTGCTTTTCTGTAGGAACCTGCGCCTGGTTGCTCTACCACAATATCTGTGAGGGTCCAATGAATTGATAGGGCAAGCTTACTCACCCTGCATTGGTAGCCCGAAAGTCATTCTTTTTCAGTGGACTGCAACAGCAACTGCACGTAGTTCCAGGCTGTGAACCAGAAGGGAAAAACCAGGCCAAAGGAAATCTGTCAGGAAACCTTGCAGAAGCCTAAACAGAGAGTGCGTCGTAGGTAGCTACTTGAGCGTACAAGCTATACACTTACTGTGGCGATGGCCTCCAACTTGCTACTAGCGATGGCCTCCTACCTAGTAGCTTCAGTAGCCTAGTAGCTACTAGTAGCTTTTGGAGAAGTGCAAAGTGCAGTGCCCTGCCTTTCTGGCCGCCCAGGTTGCGCCTCGTCGAACTCCGAGGTGCCGGTGCCCAAGCCTCGCCGGCGCCTGAGCGTCGGCCAAGTGGATGAAGCAGAGCTGCCGGGGGCGCAGGCAGAAACGGAAAGGGCAGACCAGCTGGGAGAATGGACAGTGATGAAACAGTGGCATCAAAAGGATCAACATGTGTCAGGGTGAGTTAGAGGGCTGGGGGTCCCAATGGGTGGGTCCTTTAAGACCACACACACCTTTCACGGGTCCAAGCCAGGCTTGCAACTTTGCTTGCTGGAGAATTGGCGGTTTGTTATGTTTATACAAATCCAAGATAATTGCGGATGTGTGGGATTTGTCAATCCGATTGCGAGGAACCACGTGGCCTTTGGAACTGGTGCTATACTGGGCACACTAATGATTAATGGATATGCAGCGCATTCTGAAGACTACACTTTTCTTGGTGAAGTGTTTTGTGTACCAAACCACCCTATTTTGTGTCACAAGAGGTTGAGGTGGGGACTTTCATGTGATCCTGCGCAGGATGCCGAGTCTGACAAGGACCGTGGTTTGATTGCCCAGTTAAGAACTTTGGCTGACGAAGTGGCGAAATGTCAACCGCTGGATGGGTGACAAAGGGTGGAGGGGTGGAAGCTGTGCAAGCTCAGAAAGGGGTATCGTGGTAGGCTGGTCTATCAAAGTGTAGATTCAAACCATGTATATATATACACAGTATTAGAAAAACAACAACAGCTGATTTCTTGCTCGACATCAATGACAACTCCCTTTTGCTGACACATTGTGCGACTAAGTACATGAATGATTCGTTTTTTTTTGAACTGCTTGTCAGCTTTGCGGGTTTGCAGCCACTCAAGCAATGTTTTGCTTCTGCAAGTTCAAAGCAAGAGAGAAAGACACCATCTCATTTGTGCAATGTGGTATATTTATGTACTGACAGGCTTCGCCAACCGGCGACACAACCTCAGCTTCAGACACACGCACGCAAATGCACACCCCCGCACGCACACGAACGCACACGAACTCGCGCACACGCACACGCGCACACGCACGCACACAAGCGCGCGCGCACGCCCACGTATGTTTTTAATTGAAAAGGATCAAGCATAGTGGCATAGAGGAAAATGTCAAAAAAATTGCTACTGTAAAGCTTGCAAATAGGAGAGGCAGTCTTGAGGTAGCACTTGTGGCGAGCACCATTGGCATCACCAGAGTACGAGCAGGCCTGTTCATAAACTACATACATTGTGCAAAAACACTGTAACTTACATTTGTTGCGCCTAGTCGGCACCAAAGGATTTGCATCTTTCCTGCTGAGACTCTGCTGATGCTAATGATGCTCGCCCAAAACTTGTCCTCAAAAGTTGTCTCCACTTTCAATGCTTTATTTTCTGGAGATTTTGAAGCTACAAGCTTTACAGTGTCAATTTGTGCACGTTTTCCGCTGTTTTTGACGTTTTTTGACGAAGCCGCGCTCCATCCGGCGATTCCGTATGGTGTAGCTGATCGCCTCTAGCTTTAGCTACATGGGGGTGCTCCCGATGCCGGGACCCCCCCTTACGGTGTTTTGTGAAATCGATCTTGAAAAATTGCGCTCTCGCCTCCAAAAACGGAAAAACGAGAAATGTAGTAAAATCCTTGAGCTTGGTGGGGGAGAGGCCTTTTTTTGGTGACTCTGTGATGTCGAAAAAGTCGTCAAAAAACTCTGGCAAGTTGGACAAAAAATTTGGGATCTGGAAAGGAACTGGATTTGGGCCTTACAGGGACAGTTTTGAAACCATTTTTTGGTTTGTGCCCAGGCGCAAAACACTATAAAGTACAGTGTTTTCACAACTTTCAACCTAGAAAAAACATGTCGCAGCGTTGCAAAAACTGCGTAAATATCGACGTTTTTTGGGGTCCGGTGCGCGAAATGCTACAAATATCGCATTTTTTCGAGAAAACCTTGTAAATATCGTGGTTTTGAGCACTCACGTGGTTTCCTGGCGTAAAGCCACAAAAAACTACGCAAATTGCGTGGCTTTGGGACACTTTGAAGCCTCTAGCAGCAAAACACAGTGATATTTACAGTGTTTTCTTCCTTTTCTGATTAAAAAGGCCTCTCCACCACCAGCCTGAGGAATTTTGCTTGGTCTCTTTTTGCGCGCGCGCCTCAAACGTGTTTGATACAAGGTCTCGAGGGGGCACGCGTGGGACGCATTCGAAAGGAACAACAACTTAATAGCAAAGCAAGAAGTACAAAGGCAACAAAAAGATGAGAAACTGAACACGATAGCGAACGCGCGCCCAACCGGCATCGCCGGTCTGCGAAGCTCTACAATATAGCAAGCTAGGCTTGATAGGGTCAACGGCACGGCGTCGCCGGATATAACGGGCGGCCGCCCGCGTGCCGCCGACCCCTTAGTAGGCGGGATGCCATGTGGACCCAAAGATCAGTGGCCATCAGACCTGAGCCCAAGAAGACTTCTCTCAATGCGCTGGACGTGTCGGTGAGAAGCAGGTGAGAGGTGAAGCAGCGAAGGTAGTCCATTCACGAACGGCCCAACTTGTATTGCACCAGCTATCAGTATTGCAGGGGTTATTGCTTGGGTTTGTTCGGTGCAACGATTCACTGCAAGGCGGCCGGGAAGGACTAAAGAATCGGCAGCAGTGGCGTTCAGACCGCTCGTTGAATTCGATAGGCAACTGATCGAGCTAGGCCTGAAAAGAAAAAAGAAGGAGAGAAGAACGGTAGAAGGAGAAGAGACAACAGAGAAGAAACAAAAGAGAGCAAGAAGGCATGCAGTAATTTGCCTAGGCAGAGCGGGCCTTAGCTTCAACAGCCGATATTCTGTGGTGTGAGACGTTGTTCACATCAAAATGTATTAAAACTGACACGCCAGGCCGCAGTGAAACGCCCGTAGTGTAAAGGGCTGTTGGCTTCGAGGCATTCATGCGCACTTGCGTATTAGAACGAACATGCCAAGCCACTGCTCCGTGCCTAAGGTTGTTTGTGGACCTGAGTAAAGAAAACAATGTCGTCAGTTCCTCTAGCATAAAGACAACTGGCAGCCTACCGGCAGCAGGCATCTGCAATGTCTTCGCTTTCAAGCATGTTGCAATGTGTTGACAGCCAACCACAAGGCATAAAGTTGGCCACGCGCTCCATAGCTTCTTGGGCGCTCCGCCTCCGCAAAGGTCGGTGGATATATAGGTCAACACTTGAACTTGTCAACATGTCGCATACACAGTCTTGTTTCGCTTGCTGATTGAAGATCCTAGGCAAGAATAACCTCATCGAGATGGTCTCAGATGCTGATACCGGAAAGGGCAAGAGTGGCCGCAGGGTTAGTCTTAGCTCTAAGACAGACAAGGGCACCACATCCTTTGCCAACAAAACGATGCAACTCGGTGAAATCTAACAGACTGACACACACACACATGCACACACGCACACACTCTCGTTGCCATGTTTCAGGGTCATTTTTCAATCTGTGGGGTTCCCAGTTGTGGTGCAAACCCAACTGCTTCAAAGAGGCTGTGGTGTCAGCCACAGTTAGACAGTATGAGTCAGATGCACATTCTGCATTTTTTTTAAAACCCTCTCATCCGATCCTTCCCTCGTTTGGTCCTCCCTTCAGGCACTTCAGGATCTTCAGGGTCTATTCAGAATTTGGGTGCATAAACGGAAGAACCTCCTGCTCACTGTGAAAAACAGTTGGTAAAGCGTTTATTCCAGCCATGCTTTGGGAAAGAGACGCTTGAAGAATATTTGTAACCAGGAAAGAAGCATCTTCGCACAGAGCCACATGGACGTGCACAGTTTTCATAGCTTTAGCTTGGTAGTTTTGGTAGTGTCTCAAGGTAGCGTGTTGGCAAGCGGATGTTGTTTCAGGCAGAAGTTTGGGGACCAAGATGTCGACTTGGCGAAGTGCGGAATCGGTTTCACGTGCCGAAAGGGCTTGAAGCCGGAAAGCCCAAACCAGGCGGGGGAAGAGATTCGTCGCTTGACCTTGCTTTTTGTCGCACCTTTTATCGAGAGGATATTCGTTTTGGTTTGTAGGGTCCACAGAGTAAGTTGGAATGACCATTGAGCAAGGGTGCACCGAGTTTTCTTGAACCGTTTCTTTGCAGGATTCCTGGTTCGTGCTAAAGATGGACAGCTTTTCCCTCTATGGTGTTTTTGACGGGCATGGTCAGAAGGGCCACGACGTCTCCAACTTCGCGATGGACATGCTGCCGAAGTGCATCATTAAAGACGAGCGTTGTTTCACTACCAGGGATTGGGGTCCGATTTTGATCGAGGCCTTCAAGAAGACGCAGAACTTCATCACGGTCTCTGATAAGGGAAAAGCCCTCCAAGCCCAAATGTCCGGCACCACTGCCACGGCTGGAAGCTTAGCTTGACAGACAGAGAGAACAGCCTGCTCAACAGTGAATAAGCATTCCAGCAGCTGCAGAGTCTTGACTCTCTTCTGGCTCTCTTGTGGCTTTTGCAAGTCTTAGATTTCAGATGGTGTTTTGTGCTCACCAAGGTGGCCATCCATGATCATGCAGACAATTCAGTGACCATTGGCCATGTGGCAGACAGCACCGCCGCTCTGGGGTCCAACCATGGTGGGACCTGGAATGGCGTGGCTTTGACCAGAGACCACAAGCCCAACCTCAAGGAGAGGTTCAGAAGACAACCATGTTAGTTGCTAAGCCTTGTGATACTGGGTGACTGCCATGTTCTGGTACTCAGATCTTGTTTCTTCCTGATAGATTTGTTGAAACTGTGTGAACAAGCACTGGTTGCGGGCTCAAGGTTGTTTGATTGCACGCTGACAGGTGTGACAAGCTGAGACTCGATATTATTAGCCATCGTTATAAGGGCAAATGATCCAGCCAGATTCTGCCACCTCGCCAGGATGAGAAGGCTCGCATCGAGAAGTCAGGTGGCCGTGTGGTCTTTGACGGTTATGCCAATTACCGTGTCTATGCGAAAAATGCTCGCTATCCAGGCCAGGCTGGACTTTGTAAAAGTGAACAGGAACAGATCTTAAATTCGTAAAGCTTGCCAAAATCCATCGCACAAGTTGTTTGATACGCATGTATAGATAACAAATTGATCCAATGGTCTAAAAGTTTTAAAAGCAGATCTTTTTGTTCGATTTGGGTCACCTGCGCTTGCGTACCTCCTCAAATCTTGAAGGGCTAGAGCACTAGAATACTTGCCTAGTCACACTATTCTTCCGCTGTCCGTTAGATAGGCGCTATCTATCTGAATCCTCGCATTGAGGGAGCCTCACGTCCTTTTCTTGCACCTTTCCGGCAACCACCAGGCCTCAATATGTCGCGGTGCTTGGGCGATTTGCTAGGACATGCCGAGTGCGGGATGTTTGGGCCTTACTGAGAGCCCTGAGTTCGCAAAAATTACTGTAAGCAAAACACTCATACAGGAGGGAGAGAGCTGATGATTCTTGTCCTCAGACAGTTCTTGATGGAAGGGTGGTCCCGTCAAATCTTCTCCACGCTAGTCCGCCTCAACCAAATGAGACAACACTGCTACATACAGTAGATATGTAACCAGCACAAGCTGTGGAAGATGGCAGTTGCTGGTACTTGCCGGTTGTTGGTGGCATGTTCGGTTCCGCTCGCTAGCTTGATCAAGCGCATGCAGCAAAAAGCCGCGCTTTTGCTTTAGCTTTCTACTTAGAGCCCAATTCATCTCCGCATTGGTAGCGGAGCCTACCGAATACCGGTGGGCAGGTGCTGTGCCGCACCTAGGGTCAGGGATGGCAACTACGGCCGACACCATCCCTGTTCCCTCATGGGACGGAGCTGAGACTCCTGGTGGCCGAGCCACCCCGCCAGCGGCGACAGAAGAGGGCAGCGCCCCAGCCAGTGGCCGAGCCACTGAACCTCGCGGCAGAGCCCGTGAAGAGCGTGGACGCTCCACACATCGAGGTCGAGGCCGCGGACGAGCTCGCCCTGAACTACCGCGGTCACCAAGACACAAAGGGAAAGGTCTTGGAGGCAAGAGTTCGAAGGGCAAGGACAAAGGCGCTGGAGCTGGACGAGGCCGACATCCCTACACCATGGACGATGCCTACGAGGTGCTCGATGAGAACCGATGGAACCAGATCTTCGGACAATGGTCAGCTGTGGCCGGATGGTCAAGTCAGGTACCTGGCTGGTACCAATCACCTCAAACGGGCATTTGGATGTTCTGGACCGGAGCTCAATGGCTGTCCTATGAGCCATCATCCATGGACGGATCATGGCACCTTCCTCGACGAGAAGCTGAACAGGCAAAAGGTCGGGAGAAAGGTCCTCCTCACTCGACTGCATCTACTTTGGAGCACCCGTCACAACACCGTTCAGTAGGAGTTCCACTCCCAGAAGGACATGGACTTCGTGCCAAGGCAGCCCCAAAGGAAGCAGCGAGGAAGGAGAAGAAAGAGAAGAAGGAAACCAAAGACAAGAAGGATGGCAGGGACAAGTCAGACCGCAGCGCCAAGGACAAGAAGAAGGATCGCTCAGACAAGGAGCGAGTGAAGGAGCAGTCGAAGGAGCAGAGGACGAAGACACCACCTCGACCTGCAGCTGCTGAGAAGGGGGAGAAGGGTGACAAGAAGGAAAAGAAGGATAAGAAGGAGAAGAAGGAACGCCAAGATGAAGACCCTCGTCCATCCGGCCGTGATGACTCACAGACTCCTTCGAAGAAGTCCAAGGCAGCGCCTCCGAACCCTGATCCGCCTGGAGAAGATGATGATGAGGAGGAGTACTCCGAGTACACCTACGAGGAGCAGGAGGAGAGTGAAGAGTCAGAAGGATTTGAAGAAGATCCGCCAGTGACGCCGTCCAATCTCACTGATGACAGCCGTGGCCCGAGGCAGTATCAGAGGAACCCTCGTGATCCACGTCTACGACCACCACCAGCTCCGCCGTCATCGGATCCGACTTCGTCCAATGTGACATCGACTCCGGCTGCTTCGAATCGCACATCATCCAGAGCATCAGGTTCGAGCGCACCTACAGCCCATGTTAATCTACCTTTCATGCCAGGGAGAGCCGCGTCAAATCCTGAATCAACTTCAAGTCTCCGAGATGAGGGAGCCAGGAGGACTCAACAGAGTCATGCGGCTGCTCGAAGAATCCGATGGTGCCAGATCCGATGAACGCTTCGAAGAGCGCCAGGAAGCTTACTTGACGTATCGCCGTGCTCCAGGTCAGAGCGTCGCTTCCTACATCAGCACCTTGAAGAGACTTCGAACAGAGTATCTGGCAGAAGACACAGGCACCACGCTGTCGGACAAGAGCTTTGCCCAGAGAATGCTATCCCGTGCTTCCCTCACCAAGAAGGAGCGGATGGACATCTTCTACAGTGCTGGCGGCAAGTATGCATCCAATGCCATCGAGAAAGTTCTCAGGTTCCGATGCTCGAATGTCCACCTCGACGAGGCCAAGTACCGCCCTCAGGACAAGCACCATCATCCCCGCAGGTGGAAGACTTCATCGACTTCCAAGTCAAATCGCCCGAAGCCTCACCGATCCTCTCGTGCACATCTAGCCAATGTCAAGGAGGAGCCGGACTGGGACGATGACGAGGAGGGCATCCCAGAGGAAGAAGGTGATGATGAGGCCTACTACGAAAATGAAGACGAAGAAGCTGATAATGAAGACCTGGAGCAGGAGGCCTACCAACAGGACTACTACTGGGATGACGAAGATGAAGAAGGCGACTGGGATTGGGATGATGAAGGCATGGATTTGAGAGAAGCCTATGCTGCAGGATGGCGTGCCAAGCAGAAATCCGCAGAAGCTCGCAAAGCACGTGGCTACAGTGACGCCAAATCCGAGGGCAAAGGCAAGAAGGGCAAGAAAGGTGGTGGCAGGTTCGTTGAGTACCGCGCAAAGGATCAGCGGAAGGCCAAGTCCAAGTGCGCATCATGCAAACAGATTGGACACTGGCATGGTGACCCTGAATGTCCAAATGTGAAGAATGGGACTGACCCTCCACGTGATGATCCTTCGAAGTCGCAGGTCAACTTCACCACCGACACTTCGCCCACAGCACGCGGCTGCGGCGCAAGAGTGAAAGAAGAGGCCAAGCAAGAGGATGATGACGGTGGCAAGCACACCTGGAGCACAAAAGGGCTCCATGTGCACAAGGTGAACTGGACGTTCATGGAGGGTTGGCATCGCACCAAGGCCTATTCCTCAGATTCCAGTTCAGCCGTCTCTTCACCCAGCAGCAGTTCAGAGCCAGAAGAGCCTCTTGGATTCAGTGCCGGCAGATCGTCCGAAGAAGCATCTGCTCAGAAGAAGGCTTCCAAATATAAAGCAGCTCTCCGTACAGTGGTTTCCGCCTTGGCTGAAGAAGTTGATGAGTCTGATCTCAAGTTGAAGAAGAAGCTGCTGAAGAAGCAGGAGCAGTTGCAAGAGAAGGAGAAAGAGCTGGCAAAAGCAAAGAGCAAAGCAAAGGGCTCAAAACCTGTGGCAATGGAAACCGACCTCGCACCGGCCGATATGCTGGAGATCCTCCCGTACATGTCAAAGGATGAGAAGAGGAGGCTGTACAAGGAGTTAAAGGCAGAAAGAGATCGTGAAGCTGCCCGCTACTTGGATCAGCATCAGACGGCCGAGAAGCTGAAGAGAACAGACAAGCGGCATGATGGAGGCTGTAAGGCAGCAAGTTCGTCGACCACCCCGGCACCGGAACCAGCTTCGACAAGTGATCTTCCTGAGCCAGTTCGACGGAAGCGTCTCAAGCATTTCAGGAAGGACCTCTATGATGGCGCCTTGGATCGAAAAGGGCGAGTTCGACCTTCTGAGGCATCAGAGCTGCCGACTCCAGAGCAGGAGAAGTGCTCTCACCCGTGGCAGAGCTTGAGGTGGGGCGCAAACGGTGCCGCTCATGGGGCGTCTTGCAAGGCTTGCAAGTTGAAGAAGGTGCTCTATTACAGCATGGACCATGGTGCACTCACCGCCGAGACGGTCTTGGAGGAGGATCCCATGGATGCCTGGATGCTGGAGCACGCAGCCCATAAAGTGATCTTGGACAGCGGATGCCGCGCTGCAGTTGCTGGTGGAAAGTGGCATGTGAAGATGCGCCAGGCCCTGGACCAGCGAGACCCCCCTATGAAGTGCTGGAGCACGAGGAGACCTTCCGCTTCGGAGCTGGAGCCCCAGTTTTGTCGACAGAAGCCGGTCTCTATCCAGTGGTTCTGGGAGGCACTGGCATCCGTTCGTGGCTGAGAGTCGCTTTGGTGGACGACACCAAGCAAGATCCCCGGATTTCAAATTGCCCGGCACTGGTTGGACCTTCAGAGCTAGCTCGCTGGAAGGTCACTATGGACTTCGCCAACGGCATGACGGTGATCGATGGCTGCAGCACACCTACGGAGCTCTCACCAACTCGACACCCCGTTCTCGAGATTCTTGGAGATGGCAAGGCAGAGGACTGGAACACCTCCGAACTTCGAGAACTTCGAGCTGTCCTACGAGCAGATCCACACAAGCTGGCGCTTTGGCAGAGCCAAGATGAGCTTTCCCCCTCCAAGCAGGAGGCGACGTCTTCAGATGATTCTGAGGTGTCTTTCTACTCCCTGGCTGAGCCAGAACCAGATCTTGAAGATCTTGCTCTGTTGCAGAGCCACATGGAAGATGAGGCCATCAGTGGTTTGGACCAGATCGTGCACAAGGTCCCCACCAAGGAGGCGGAGCCCCAGGATGACAGTACGGACTCAGACAGCCATGGCTCGTTCTCATCAGGCCAATCTGAGTCTTCCCACGAAGATGGACCATCATCAGCTGATGAGAGCACGTCAGATTCCGAGGGAGAACCTGACCGCTTTGAAGACGCTCTCGCAACCGGCCTCACGGAACTTGACCAAAGGTCAGCTGCTGCTCCTTGGCAACGTCGGAGGGGCGGCCTGGTCTTCGGCGAGAATCCTGCCACGTCCAAGGCTTGGAAGACTCCAGAGATTGAGGAGGCCTTCGATGGTTTGGCACATGTTCAGTTTGATCAATGCCAGGTTGGACTAGCACGCCCGACCAACCACATGCCTATGAGGAAGCGCACCATTATCGCTGGAGAAGATGGTGCCTTGACCGAACTCAAGAACAAGATGTGCCCAGGTGAACATGAGCACTACATCATTGAAGGCGGCTACAAGACCGAGACAGGTCAATGGGCATCACTGGCAGAGTTTGGTGGTGGCTATTGCAAGGAGCTTTGCACTGCACTTTTGAAGGGAGCTGAAGCCTGGCTGACTCACAAAACCAATGAGGCCTTCACCGAGGACTATGAGATTGAAGACACAGTCCCTGATTGGATGGCTGGTGAAGACTACATTGAGGAACAGAAGAGTCGCCAAGAAGCTCAACTTGAT